GATACGCCCAGGATGGATTGTTGCATTGCAAGATCATGAGAGGTGGCGGCGACTTGGTGGAGGCCTTCATCCAGCAGTAGATTGATGATGGCTATTAACACACTGTTATGAACCCGGTGGCCCTGTGGATAATAGAATGAAAAATGGATCTGTAGTGAAAAATGCTTCTGTAGTACAGAAGCATTTTTCGGATATGACAAGTTATTCTATATAGTTAAATTATTGTGCAGAGTATGCACTGTAGATGTTAAACGCAAATGCATTAAAAGATTGCACATGGTGCTGCAGGAGATAGCTTCCTCTATGTATCTTCATTCCATTTCACATTTTGTGAAGCAAATTCATGGAAAATCCTGTTGCTTGTTGGGCTTTGAATGGAGGATCATTGTTGAATCTGCTGCTTGCACACCTGCAGTCGCTGCACAAGAGGATGAGCCTTGCGTTGCCATGGTTATTTGTGCGTGAAAGGTCATGGGAGGAGAAGAAGCAGTCTCAATCAAACATCGATCTCATGTCAACAAGATGCATTATAGTGGCTTTGCGACAATTGACCATTTGTCTTCCTTTCCTGCGTGTGAATGAGACTGCCGAAGGTCTCAAAGCTTGATACTTTAGTTGCTTGCATCAACCTTTCGTTGAAAATAATCCATTGGGTTAATTTAATCCAGTAACTACCTGCCGTTTTCGGTTTTTATGGCGTAATGCTAATTACATTATATCATTGCATCACTTATGAGTTATAATCCGCGATATATTACCTGCTGTGACACGTGGATCAGAATCGTGGTGAATGACAAAGAATATGTAAGGCTGACAAAAGGAATGGAGAGATGCGTTTTTTTGAGAATTGCACTGAGACAAAGAGAAATACTTGTCACTGATTATAATAATATAATAAAGTTAGAGATTTCGATTTAAAGCTTTCGTGACTGCAATGATTCATCTTCTTTGGTTCTTTCGGTAAAGTCACGTAGAATGAGAATAAAATAATAAATTGATAAAATAAAATAACACAATAATTTTCTCACAACGTTTCGGCCACAACACAAGCGCTGTCCTACCAGACAGTCTCGTCCCTTCACCTGATGAAGGCCGCTTGTGTTGTGGCCGAAACATCGTGAGAATATTATTGTGTTATTTTATTTTATCAATTTATTATTTTATTCTCATTCTACGTAACTTTACCGAAGGAACCAAAGAAAAAGTTAGAGATGTCATATTAGCTGTTAATAAAAGTGGCCTTGGGCAGGTTGCATCTCTCGGAGGGGTCGAGACTAACTACTGAATGGCAGCCAGGGTACACAGCTGAGTGGACGTCCACAGAACGATGAATTCAGCTCATGTGCAGGTTCCAGTTGGATTGTTAAATCACAAGACCGTGAGAAATAGTGTACGGGTTGGGGAGGCCTCATCCAGCAGTGGATAGATCGTGTATGACGCTGGAAATGGATATAAACCAAAAGGTCAAAATGCTGTAGATAGTATTACGTGTTATACACAGTACAGTGGGACGCCAAACATCTGTAGGCTACGAGAACTCTGATATTTTGCGGTGGCATTGGCAAAAAATGCAAATTTTTGTTGAGTCAATTTTTGTCAAGTAGCTAAAAACGTCTCTCCTCCGATGAACGATATTTGCACGGTAATGCTGTACATAGGAGTGCAGACTTGCTAAATTCTGCTCTTTTATCGGAGATAAGATAAGCGCGGTTCGTTACTCCTTCCGTCCAGGATTTGTTTTCACGAATGCGAGGAGTATTCTTTATTTATCACGGCGTATCACGGATGCTCAAATAACATCCCCCACATTGCACCTCGGCCACAAAATATTGAATGTATACATATCGTATTGTAATGTAGTAAATACGAGGTCGTGCACCAGAATTTATTGTGCCGTGTATTCCAGTACTGTAGAGTGCAGTATAGTACTTTACAATGAGGAACATTGATATTCAAACTACTGTACATTGCATTCAATGGTAATTACTGTAAATTGTTTAATTGAGTCGATACAATTGTAGACAGTTGTCTTGGGTAAATGCGTCGGATATTAATGAGATGAGATTTAAAAATCAGCAGCCTTTGTTGTTGCCTGCCAAGATGCAGAGCAATATAACCTCGCATGTAAAGTCCAAAGTAAACATTTATCAAAGCAATGTGCTTTCTTATGGCCATTGCATTGCAGATTTCCACCGATGCCAATGTGTTTGAGAAGGAGTACAGCACGCCGTGTGGTATTGTCAGATAAGCTACTTTAAATGTTTAGTTTAGCTTATTAATGCTGAATTAATTTTAAATTTCTGTACGGTGTGGCACATGGAAGATATTTCATATTTATTATAGGAATCAATTATGTCTGCAATGTATAAACACATCAGGTGTGAAAACCACAGCAAGAAAATTTGATGATGATTGCTTGTGTTGCAGTCGAAACGTCGTGAGAATTTTATTGTTTTATATATTTTTTATTTTATTGTTTCCCTTCTACGTGGTGACTTTACCGAAAGAACCAAGAATATGAATCCCTGCAGTCACGAAAGCTTTAAATCAATATGATTACCTTGCTTAACAGGATTTTGTCTCACAAAAGCTTTTCACCAGGTTATGAATACAGTTTATTACGGTGCCTTACGATTACATTATTTCTTGCACATGTTTTCAGTGTGCGATTAGAAGACGTAGCGTTCTGCGTTGTGAAGTGCCGTGCCTATGCTGCAGTGGAAGAGACCCGGAAAAGCAAACGTCTAACACTCCAGCAGTGCAGTAGCACAGGGAACAGATGGTTCAGGAGGGGCCTGGAAGACTCTTGTTCATTTAAAACCCACCCTCCATGTATCCTATTCCCCAAAGTTGCGGGCCTTTAATTGGGAACTGTCTGCCCTGCCATAAAACATTTGGACAGCACTGGAAAAAATGTAAATTCGGTGTAGCAGTACAAGGATTTTAGATTTTCCTCCATTTACCAACTTACTGGTAAAGGCGTTTGTGTATGCTCTTGTGTCCTCCAGACAGGGAAAAATATATAATTCATGCACCTGCAATGAGATATATTACTCTTATACTTAATGGGATTAACTCGATTACCATGCTTTCTCTTGCCACAAGTCTTTTTTTTTTCAACGTTACTGTTCAACGTTGTGCACATGATTCGAATGTCTGCATGCTTTTATTTGCTCGAGTGGTGATGCCTTTTGTCAGATGACTGGTGGCTTTTGTATTGCCACACTTCCATTAGCTGCATATTGCATACCACAAATAAGAGCCAGCACCATTGATCATCATTTGCTGTGCAATATTGGGGGTGTTTTATGATGCTTAATTTTCCTGTTTACTTACAGCAAAGTGCAACACTGATTGTTCATATAGACACCCTTCTTCACCTTCAGAGCAGTGGGTTATTTGTTAGGTTGCCCTCTGGCTCATGACAGAGGTCATACCGTGCAGTTGTGAACATGTAATTCACTTGTGTTGTTGAACATTTGACCTCACATAATTTGGGTATAAATGTTATTATTTTCAAACTCGGACACTGTCCTTTGGGATTGATATGTTTTGGAAATGCATTTGTGTTTTGTCTTTGAGAGTGCACAATAATTCACTTAAATTAACTCATTATGTGTTGCTGTGAAGCATTATGGGTAAAATCATATACAAACAGGACTCTGTTCTGTGTCTCCACATATACAAATATATTTGTGGTCCATCAGTCTATAGGCTTTGCAGACCAATATTATTACCGGTTGATGGGACCCAGAAGGTTTAAATTGGTCTAACGTTTGCTTGTACTCTATAAACAAATGCTTAGTGACAATCAATATGGGTCTGGAAAACCTACAGAACGATGGACTCGAGTATTATTAACTTTTATGTGGATGCACAGATAGGACTTCTGCTTATAAGTGCATTCACTCAAATGAAGTACATATGTATATTATTGTAATGCTGGATTTTATTTAACTACAATGCTGCTTTTCCTACTTTCAATGTCTATACCCACGTCCATCATCCGCGACGATAGCATGCCTCCAGGTACTGGCCACCGCTGTGCTCAGAACCTTTGGTATATTTTAGTTCGTGCAGAAATGACATCTGTATTGAATGTTTGTGTGTGAATTCATAAATGAAGCAAATTCAACAACTCAGCTGCAGTCTAGTCATTTCAAGAATTTATTGATCTGCAGTATTTTTTTTGGTGACCTGCTGGCTTGGGTGAAAATATGAAATAATATTTTCAAGTACGCACTGTAATAGTAAGCTGATGGTCTCGATCCAGTCACAACAACAAAAATCACATTAAAGTATTTGAATTAAACAAAATATCAGTTTGACTGAAGGGCTCGTGCGAACACGTGCCCTCGAATGTGCAAATAAAATTGAATGGCTTGAAGGGGGCCATTCTCTAATCCACGGGGCAATACACTGCTCGATGAGAGCTCCAAATGGATACTTTGTCTCATGACATGCCCCTGATGACATGGTTGAAATAAAGATGAAAAAAGACTGAGAAATATTATTTGACTCGCAAGACATGCGTAGAATGATTCATTGAATTTACATGTTATTGTTTCACGTGAACCATACAGTCTCTGAACATTTTGCATGCACTGGAGAAGCTAATGTTATTAAGTAGAATTGCTACTGCGAATCGTGACAATTCACCCAATAACAAGGCAGTTGAATAATTGAATGGCTCGTGTTACAGCAATTAAAAATGTGTAACATTGGTGTGATATGTAACACTGAATGTTTTTTTTTATTTGTTCTTGCATTGGTTTTTATCGTATTTTACTGGAAAAGATTGATTCTTGTGGAATCTGTGTTGATTTGAATGGTTTGTCTTTTTGGCTTTTCTTCAATTTTGTTTTACTGTACTTGCTTCGACGCAATAGACCTTCAGGTGGTAATATGTTCTAGGTGATGACGACGATGATTACGTATTGCTGTACAAACTGTGTGTAGCTTTTTGTGGTTAAATGTGGTGTATTCTTTTCTGCTTTCAGAATTCCATGAATCTACCACCCGACAAAGCCAGATTGCTACGGCAATATGATGCTGAAAAGAAATGGGAACTAATTTGTGACCAGGTAAGTCACTAAACGCTGTCCCACCCCCTTACATAATCCCTCAATGTCATTCAAGTCTTGCTGAAATGTTTACAGAGTAGATGTGTGTCGACAAAGTGATCTATACATATTGTATGAGGATCTATATTCGTTAAGCACTTTGTGCTTACATCTGTCTTAGTAAAGACGCATATTGTCAATTACAGGGCAGCATTGTACGTTACGCTAAAAAGGGTTATCGAAACTGCTTTACCGTTCGGTGCAGTCCTTCTATTACAATATAATTCCACTTAAATACTGTTCCGTCTTTATACGGGGGCGTTGAATGGAAAATAAAATCGGCGTGTAAACTATTATCTGTGTATACAGCAATTCATTGAAAGCACGTGCTCACTCGCTGCAATAATTACATAAATGTGGTACCCATGCTTTTAGAAGCCTAATACCATATGGGCAAAATTTATTTAACGTAAAATACAATAACCAAATTATGGCCATTTGGTTCTCACAGTGCAGTACTGTTGTTCTTTTTAAAGGGCTGTGTTTTTCATCATTATGTCAATGCATTACTTGTGTTGTATATGGTAATTTATTGTTTTGTACTTTTTTACATCAGAGAAGTTAGGCAAGGAGAGTATTGTATCCATGCTTAGTGACATGAATGTGAACACGTGGATCGGAGAAGAAACTGAAATTACAGACATCACGTTAGCTGTTAGGACAAGTAAAAGGACTTGGGTAAGGGACATGCTATAAAGGAATACATCAGAGAAGGGAAGATATCAGGACAAATAAGAGGGGGGGGGGGGAGAGACCGTTCACTCAGCAGTGGATAGAAACTGGCTAATGATGGTACTTTTATTATTCCGTTTACTGCATTTATTATTTTCTTAGATAGAGCCATGAAAACATCAGTCAGGATTATCACCACATGGTCCTCTTCATGGGGAGAACTCTATCATACAAATTAGCGTTGTTGATACCCTTACCAGGGGATATTGCGCTTGGCCAACAACGGATGGTGTCTGGTTTTTTATATTTGTTCATTGAGATCAATTTTATTAATTAAAATCTCAAGTGGAGATTTTAAAAGACCCAAAAAGAATAATGCTCCAATTAACGTGCGTGCTGAGAAGAATAAATAGCCTTTAATACCATTTAATTCAATTGCATAATTCCGTAACAAGATAAAATGAGCTCAGTGGTTTAAGAAGGCCGTTTACGATTTTTTTAAACGTGCTATTAGCCAGTGACCTTGAAACGACACTCTCATCCGTCACTCCTACGTATTTATTTTCTTAAAACCTTACTGAAGGATTGGACAAATATTTCTTTATATATATTTTTAAACCAGTGCACCATGTTAAAAAGCAGCCAAAGGACAAACAGGCCTTTGGGAAAGTGTCTGCTCACGGGGGGGGGGGGGGGCGACGACTGTTTGTATTAAACCCGATCCAGCAGGAAACGTGGTTGAGCCTGGGGACTTAATGATGGTGTGGCCTCAAGGTAGTTGTCGTGGTGAACTGGGTCTGCAGATGGCAAGAGAGTTGTGTGGTGCCCCATTATTCACGTGACTGGTGTGGCCCATGATAGGAGCAAGGGTGTAGTTAAGGGTTGTGTGGGTTCAGAGGATGGTGGGAAGGCAAAGAGCCGCTCTCAGCTCGCTCGAATGCTGGTGCATTATTTAGATTACAGTACACCTCCGATTAGCACGGTTGGCTATGTACGGTGTGAAAGAAGTTCAACATACATACAGTACGTGTAGCTTTATTATATGCATTATTCATTGTAACTGCTCATGAATATACTACCCTGTAGCAGGATGACATTGCTATAGTGACTGAAGTGTAACACTTCGTGGCAATTTCATCACGTTATGTGATGTGTTACGGTGCGAAAGAAGTTCAACATGAATACGTTTGTGTATGGGCCTTGCGAATTGTCTTGCAATATTTCTGTGAAGATGTTTTGTAAAAGCAGGTTTTTAAAGCAGCGTTTGTAGGATTTGATATGAGTCACAGTATTGTACCTTGTTGCTGCTCACAAGCCCAATGACTGCAGATTATGCAGTACAGTAGTCTGTTTTGATTGTGAATTTAGAAGAAATTACACTCTGTGGTGACGATGCGTTGATTAATCGATTAGAATAATGTCTTACACAATATAATGTACATGCATTGAGTTGTATGTACAGTATTAGGAATACATTGTTTACGATGTATGTGGATTATATCCAACATTTATGGTAATGCTATATAGTTTAGGTTAATGGAGTTTTAAAAACACCATTCGAAATGAAAATGTAAAATCAAATGTGGTAAAAATGGGCCAAAGAATAATCAATTCATGAATGCAATCATTGTCCTGAATTGCGATAATTATTCATTACAATAATTGGGCTGGATCATTACACGTGATCGAATGTTGTAATGCAAAACTGTGTGTATCCTGAATATGACCAGTGTTTTTTTTATATTACTGAAATGTATTCACAGCAATATCAACAGAATACAATGATTCTTAATAAACAACTATAACATCTCTAGCACTTCAGAATCAGAATGTATTTATACTAGAGGAATCCGATGAGCTATAAAGCTCTTTATTACAGATGTCCAGTGACTATGTGTTACACAACATAGCTACACATCACATAACGTGATGAAATTGGTACGAAGTGTTACACTTCAGTCAATATAACAATGTTATCCTGCTACAGGGTAGTATATTCATGAGCAGTTATAATGAATAATGCATATAATAAAGCTACACATACTGTATGTATGTTGAACTTCTTTCACACCGTACATAGCCAACTGTGTGAATCGGAGTTGCAGGGGAAGGACAACCAAACACAAAAGACAGTTCTAATCATTTGCACCGTTAAATTATAATATAATTAGAACACAAGTACGTTCATTTGTAATGGTTCATATCTGGTTTGTTCCTGGAATATTATGACACCTATTTAAGCAACCGTGTCAGGTGAAAATGATTATCACTTCCTAGAATATTGTCCTGAAACGTCGTACTCCTTGGCTCAATTTGGTTGTGAGGATTGTTCTTCAAATAAATGGTGAGCTGAAACAATAGTAATAATAAGAATAATTGGCACGTTGTTAAACGTGGCAATGATTCAACTGATATTTTTTTGCCTCCCTGGAATGTTTTGGTTGGGTTGTACCAATGGTGACAGCCATCCTTTAAACTACAATATTTGTAATAATAGGGTTTGTTCCCTTTTTTCTGGCAACAAAACTGAAACCTTTTTACAAGGATTCATGTCTGCATTAACCACAATGCCTGCAGACAAAACGCAAACCAAAAAAAACATACTATGATAATATATGCATTTTGACTGCAGGTATTTTGGTTAATGCAGACATGAATCCTTGTATAAAAGGTTTCAGTTTTGTTGCCAGAAAAAAGGGGAAAAAACCCTATTATTACATTTTGGTATTGGCAAAGGAGGTCTAATGATGATGAGATACAATATTTGTCTCGCAGAACCATCGTGTTAAAATACATACAAATCTTACACGTATAGATACATCATTGGTCTTTTTCAAGGACGACAAATATTGCTTCATCCGTAATTGCTGCAGCAATCAGAGAGTATGATTCAAGAGCCTTGTGCAGCCCACTTTGGGTGCACCCGTTACCAACGTGCTTGCCGTGAAACAATACAGTACAACTTCTCTTCACCGTGGTGATGCAGCGGACGAACATTGCGGATCCTATAATCTGCGATCGTATTTGGAAATTGTACCCCATTTATCCATGAAAAGAATGTGCATATTGCAGATAATGTGAAGGATCTGGGCGCAGACAATAGGAGTTCTTGCGAACCCGTCCTATAGATCCTGCAGATAATAGAAGTTGTGAGCAATAGAGTTGCTAATAAAATGAATTCTACTGCACTGCATTAACTCTAGCCTCTCGGCTGGAGGAACAAGGTTTTTATCCATTCTCGGCCAATGCAGCTTCTGCAAACCCGTCATGCTTGTCATGGCGATTTTACCTTGGATGCCTTGAACAAGGGTATATGCGAGTATAGCTGGGACAATTAGTTGATTAAGTCGATTAGTCAACTAACCATTACTTACCGACTACTTACTATTTTGTGGTTTATTACTCTGGCCAATTTAAAAATAGCCGCACCCCCACATTCTACCTCCTGAAGACAGGAATCCCCTATCGTACACGCCCAGGTGACACGGCTGATGATGCTGATGAAGTCACCAATCTTCGCCCATCATTTTCCATCCTGCGGCACACACGGGAATAGAGGTGACACTTTTGTTCCCCAACCTTTGTCGCGTTATCCGATTAGTCGAGTAATCAAACCGATAAACGGGAAAGCCTAGCCCTATGCAAGATCATCTTTTCTTCAGCAGATCCGGTGCAATTGCATTTAATTGCCTTCCACAACTCCCCTAATGCTTGCCCCCACTGGACCTCCTTTGAGCCTTCTGTGACCCGCCTGCTGTAAATGCGCGGCGGTACTCTGCTGTATTGCATTTGAAGAGCTGTCGCTTCAGACAATGTGTACGTGACATCCTGCGACTCGCAGGAGAGATAGGTGGGGGCGCGAACACGAGCCATGGCTCAAGACGTGATGAAATTGCCATCTTGCAAGAGACAGGGCAGTGATTAAAAATGTGGGTCACATTTTGCGGCCAGAAATGCTATTAGATCCACACGCCTTGATAAGTTGCACGTGATGACCATTTTGGTCGTTGTATTGTGTAACACAAACGAGAGCTTGCTGGGAAAATGCTATGCAGTGGTGCAGCACTGTTGTTTATGCAAATAGATCAGTGCAAACGATTATACACGAGACATTAGATCTCTCTATAGCTCCCCTATATTCGAGATATTCGCAAATACTAAATGGGAGGGGGTGTTCTGACGGTCACGTGGTATCTGCTATGAATACTGAATACCTGTTATATGTTCTGTTGTTTGTAGGAGCGTTTCCAAGTAAAGAACCCTCCACACACGTACATACAGAAGCTGAAGAGCTACCTGGACCCAGGCGTGACTAGAAAGGTATCAAAACATTACACACAGGCTACTGTGCACATCAGATTAATTATAACATTTATATGTTGTGGTTAGTAAAGTATTCCTAACATTTCAGACCAATCAATTAATCTCTGTATTGACATTTTCCAAGCATTGGTTTTCATGGTACATCACATTTCATTACCCCCAGTGCCATGCATTGTGCAGATGTGGGGTAGCATTACGCATAATTGCATTATTACAATTCACTTACACTGGCAAATAATTATGTAGGCACTTTCTAAATTCAATTATAGTACGTTGTGGTGGCGTCTGGCCTCCATTGCTGTATAAGGCACCATATAATCGTCTACAAACTCAAATAGCATTGCATTTTCACCACTGTTGAGTGGCTAAAAAATATATGCAGAAAAGTATTTATTGAATGTTGAGAGGCGCTAGGAAGGAGGGGAACAAAAAAAAGGGTTTGGAAGGAAATATTTTGATGCGCATGGTTCCAACTGATTGGTAGCCTTGGTGCCGACACCATGGGGGCCACGTTTGCCTAGTGTCAGGGCCCGGGCAGGCCTCCCGAGAGGTTTGTTGGGTTAAGATCAGATTCCTTCCTTTGGTTAAAGGAGGCTCTCCACAACAACACAAGGCCTTTGTTTCTACCCCTGCCGTTGGGTTTGGGAAACCCTGTCAGATGTTGCCACGGCAACCTCTGCTGGAAGGGGCAGCTGGGGAAATTTGCTGGGTTTTTTTTTGTTGTTGCCGGTGGGATTGTAAAGGGAATCGTGCCCCCGTTGCTAACTGCTTTCAGCTGCCCCTATCTCGGACTGCAGCCAGTTCTATTTCAGCAACCTAATTGTTTCCACACCAGGCAAATGGTTATTCTGTTCTGTCTCGTTTGAGCGTCTTTTGTCGTCAAATCAAGAACTCAAAAGAGATGTAACCAATATGTGCCAGCCGCTCCTGTGATCTGCATGTAGGCTTTTAATTTCATAAACGCATGATTCCTGGATGATTTTGTAATATAGTAGGTAATAGCTTCTTTAAATACTTTTAAAAAGTAAGGTCGTTAAACGAATACTATCGTCGTCACCCCCGAGTGAGATAAATGTTTGTTATTTACAGCACTTGTTTGCACGTGCTGAAAAAGAGGTTTGCAGCTCATCGGATTCCTCCACTGTAAATAGATATTCTGATTCAGACGTAAATGTTGACGTTTTATGATTATAATACTGTACCCGTTTTCACACCTGTAAGAATGGCTCACTCAAGAAATAACAGTACAGAAAGGAATCCAACTTCAAATTATTAGTTATTTTTATATGATCGTTTCCCTCAAGCTTCTAACAACTGGCATCAATGACTTTTGGTAATCTCCACCATTTTTTTTACATCTGGTCCAAAAATTGTGCAACCACATTGGGATTCTGGAAGACATTTATCATTTAGGCACGACAACAATTACTGTATGGTTTCTAAGAAAACATGACTGCAGTGATGAACTGAGATAGTTGGTACATTTTGGATGGCACATGACTGTTCATACCATGCTGTACCATGACAGCTGGAAGGAAGCACAAAGCTTCAATGCAGCTCACACTTGGCAGCAAGCTCTTCAGACAATGGACGCAGTCTTGTCAAAACAGAGGCCTTGCCCTGGCTTATTGTTGTGATCTGTGCAAAAGCCAGATACAGTCAATCTCCACGGATGCTCCCTGATTCAAGTTGAACTGGCTGGAAATGCGAGCACATCAACCCCTGGAAGAAATCACTTTACGCGAATCAGTCTTGGTCACCAGCACGCTGTTTCATATAGGCATGGTATGAGAGAATAAATAAGTTGTTATGTAAAACGCCATACACTTTAAAAATGCGTTATTGAGTTACTCAAATAAGCAGTGCGGCATTTGTGAGTGCGCTTCGTTTTGTATGAACCCAGCCAGCTGAGTTCAATTCTTGGCCATGGCTAACATTAGTGGAGGGTGATATCTGAACAGGCCCTTTCACCTATGGGTGAACCTCACGCGCAAACAGATTGTCATGTGACTTGTGGGGCTATGTGGTGGGTAGTAGAGGGCAGTGTTGAACTGTATTTTTTATGTTCTTACATTTATGCATTCACCATCCCACACTGACCACTGTGGTGAAGTATGGCCAAATAACTATTAATAACCTGCATGGCGTGGGGAGGCCCTTATTCAGCAATGGATTTACACAAGACCCATACAGGTACATTGTATATAGTATGAGAGAATACAAAATACAGTACAACGTCACATATCCGACACACTGGGTACTGAGGTATAGGCGGATATTTGAAAAGGTTGGATAAGTGAACATCTTTAGAAAATGACAGTTCTGCCATGTACAAATAAGGTTCTAGAACAACAACAAAAATTCCAAACTTCTTTAAACATGGGAACATGCTTTACTGTACTTAATAAGTAAACGAATGCACGCAATTAAGGAATGCATATTGTGTGTGAACATGTCGTGGTGTTTTCGATCTTGATGTCAACATAGAGAAGTGTACCTTGTTGGGATGCGTGTTCTTGCCCCTGCAGAAGCTGAGGAGGCGCGTGCAGGAGTCGACACAGGTGCTGCGAGAGCTGGAGATTTCTCTGCGCACCAATCACATCGGGTGAGTCCCTGCCACCCTCCACTGCAGGAGATGATCCAACCCGGCTTGAAAGTGGCACAGTCGTGCTCTTGGATAGCCCTCGAATGCACGGGCAAGTGGGGCCTCTTGCCAAATTGGGTAAATGAAGTAGTGCACAGGGTGATGAGATGTTTCGACAACACACTGAAATGTACAACTGTGTGTACAAAAAGGCGTTATGGAAAACCACCAGCTCCCACAGAACGGCATTGTGGTAATTTTCTCTTATGTCACCATCAACAGATTAAGCTAATTGTGGCCAACTTTTAGGCAATAGTAAGACAAAGATAAAACTGTCAACCAGTTTTGCCATTATTAGGATTCATCACACCAGTACAGTAATAAAAGCTTACCGCTGCCACGCCTGCCACTGGGAAGCTCAAATGCGCGGAGAACTCCACTTCTACGCAATGGGACCCATTAGCTTGCGAATGGCAACATTAATTCATCCTGTAAATTATTATCTTGTGATGTGGCTAAGTTGTTTGGAATCATCATCAACCATTGTCTATCCGCTGCTGGATGAAGCGCTCCCCACGCTGTTGCCACCATGGTCCAGAGCCGCTGCCATCCCACTTCACTCCAGCACATGAACCGATCTCATAATAGAGGTTTATTATTTTGGGGTTAGATCGCATCAATATAAATGTGTCGTTAAACCCGCCACCACCCGACACAGCCAATTAGTGAGGTTTGTCACGTAAAAAAATGTGCCATCTAGCTACTCGTTCAGCACACCGGTGTGTTGGAGAATAAACCCACAACATTTACAATTCGAGCACCAGATTTCACCGGTAATTACAACCAGTCTCATCAGGCGACAGCCAAAATTGTGGCGGGTTTAACGACATTTATATTTACACAATCTAACAAAAAAAAACCCCTCTATTATGAGCAATATTGGTCGCGAAAGCCTACATGTTAAATCAAACTAATCTCATTGCTCTCTTTTCATGGTGGCATTCTTTTGGATGCATTCTCTACTTCCTTTGAGTATTAATCGATGAAATATGAGGACAATCGCACTATATATAAGCCAATGTAATGAACAACTTCGCATATTTTTTGGTGTAGGCGACCTTCAAATACATGTATTGGATGGTAATGGTGGTTATTATTACAGCATCTGTATAGTCCAGAACAAATGGAGAAAAAAATTGTCTTTAACAACTTGAGGTCAATGTACGTCAGTGAAAGTTGTAACTTTAAACATTATGCTTAGGTCACCTTACAAAAGTAATTTTTAAAAAGTTACCACAATTTTCTTATGGCATAATTGGAATTGTCCTTTCCTCTTAATGTTTTGTGTGGTGATAGATTTTTTTTTATTATCGTGTTATGCTGCAGTTGTATGGCAGAGAATGTAGAGTTTATTGCGTTGTCAATGCATTTTATACTGTTAAGTTGATCAATGATGGTATGACATATCGTATTTAAGGCATCGATATCACATAGATCATATCGTGTGGCAGCCACACATTGCTTGCACGTTCTGAAGTGTTCACGTGCAAGCAGCTCGTTTACACGAATAGCTGGCGGCTTTGTACAGATCTATGCATCTGTTCGTTGGCTACTCTCGGTTACATTTTGCCCACTGAACTACAGTTGTTCATTGCTTCATGGGCAAAGAGAGGTACACCGAGATTGCGATTTGGGCCAGCTGGACATGGGTTAGGATGTCAGGGACTATGGGAAGCAGAAAGTTTCTGCATCGTACATACCATTCCTGGCAAGTACACTCGCATTCTCAAGTGAGTGTGGGGTGTGTGTGTGTGTGATCAATGTTGCCAGTCTCACTCGAAACATTTAAACAGAATTTGAGTTGTTTGCACACAACCTAAGTACGTTGTAGTTTTTTTTATGTTTACTTCATCTTGTGTCGGTTACATTTTGGGAATTTTTCTGCAAAGTATTTATCAACCAACATTTACACGAGTATTTATCGTTATTGTGTAGTTTGTATGCTTGCGTATGCTTTCCACCACTGTACATAAACAAGTACAATTCATATTAAAGTACTCTGTTATTGTTTCTACAACATTGTTTTGTCTTTGCTAACTTATTTTTGTCATCCTGTTGCCTCACGTTTTATACGAAGAGCGTTTTGTTTTGCATTCCTGCATGCAGCTGTGTTTCCTGTTTTGCTGTTTTTCTTCGTAATTTGGAACATCCCCCATTTCTTTTTGAAAGACAATACCCCTCCAGCCTTTGTCGCAGACATACGGGTCCCATTGCGTCGTGAAATTATCCAATAAAGCTTGCGGCCTTCCAATCCGCTGCCGAATATAATATACACACGCATCATGGTGAATTTTTTTTTGTTTTGCTCTGATACTTTGACCATTTCTTGCCAACTTTCGAAAGCCCCCCCAACCACCACCACCGCCACCCTCGAGGGTGCCTGTGGGATTGGCCTGGCGTGAGTTTGAATCAGAAAGGGCGAGAGAAGGAGCGGATGGGAGGCCTAACTTCCTCCGCTCACTCCCCCCAATCCCACCCGTGTCACAGCAGCTTGCATTAAACCTGGTCCCAACCTCCAAGCACTCCTCCCTTCAAGGTCTCCCCAGCTGATTAACTTGCCCATTGTCAACCACAGCAGGAAGCAGTTGGCCTCCGCCCCATCCTCCACAAAATGGTTCGACGTGTGTTCGTGCAGGCCCACGATTACAGGCAGGATATAAGGGGACAGGGCGAGTGTAGTATTTGCAGCTGGTTTTAGTGTTGATGTTGTGGTCTTAATTAGTTGTTGCTAAATCTGCGCCCCACTCTGTGCAAGGCTCCCAATGTTGCTACGTACCTGTTTTTTTGTTGAAGTGCCTTATTTTTAGAACGTTGTAAAAATAAGGGTGCAATAAAATGAAGGTCTGTTAAAAGCAATCAAGCCTGGATAATGAGATAAACTAATTTTTATCTGAAACTTGTACAAAGTTCCAGAATTTGTGTATATGTGTTTTTTTTTAAGTGGTACCCTAGTCTTTCCTTAATTTTTAAATAATTCATCATATAACACGGTGCTGTAATTATATAATGTAAGCACATGCATATATGTGAAAACACACTTAAGTACTTGAGATAACAATAATAGTGCCAATGTTCATTTGTGCAGCTGGGTGCGGGAATTCTTGAACGAAGAGAACAAAGGACTGGACGTGCTGATAGAATACTTGTCATTTGCGCAATACGCCGTCACGTGAGTATTTCACCAACATTTACACAGATGTTGTTTTTTGGACACGCTTCATGTACTTTGTTTAACTGTAAACATTCTTAAGTTTAATTTTAAAACGGTGAAATGGTGTACAGTACAGTCGTATTTTAAGAGCACGTGTATAACTTTTGTAAAATATCCGCGTAATTTTCTTAACATAGGTTGGCTGAACACGACGCCAGACATGGGGCAGAATCGGGCCAATGTTATGCACTAGTCGTTGGCAATGGTAATTCTGGACGTGTAGAATCGGTGTTGCTTAGCTGATTTAAGCATAGCTGAAGCTTAGCTATGCTATATTTGCAGTAGAATCCCATTCAAATCCACAAATCGTATGTGCCAGAATCCCTTTTGAAATCCCATTCAAATGAACGGAAACATTAACATGGGTATTACCCATGGAAGATCATTGGGAGTTAATATTACTTCTTTACCCAACTCTAATGCACATTTTAACTTTCATCCATACTCGTGTTTATGTATGCCTGCACTTACAGATAGTAAGTCCCAGGTTCCCTCATGAGTAGTATAAAACATTTAATATGCCAAATATTACAAATATTCCAGTGGACTTAATGTATCTGGTTAGCTACAGGTTATGACTCAGGGGTCAGCAACCTGCGGCTCTGGAGCCACATGTGGCTCCTTTAAGGACTGATTCATGACGTTATTTATTTAGAACTGTCTTGTATTCACATGCATTGCGGCTCTTGAAATATTGAGTTTCTTACCAAATTCGAAAAAAATGTCTCTTGTGATTTTGGTTGCCGACCTCTGGGCTATGTACATGTTTTGTCATTGTTGATATGCATTCTGTGTGCAATAATCCCATCCCCTTTCCTACTCCGTTCTCCTCACTGTAGGTTTGACATTGAAGGTGCAGAAGGTGCTGGCAATGGCACGCTCAGCCGGTCCAAGTCTCTGGATCGATCCATTGAGGACCTCTCCGGCAAGAATAACGGGCTGCATGCGGCTGTGTGTACCACCACGGCCAAGATGGCTCGCCACCACCTCAGCCTCCGGTGAGTGTGTGTCGGGAATAAATTGACATAAGCAAGTGTGGTTTTTACCTATGTACCGAGTTATTAATTTACGAATTGTGCCAGGAAAGCCACACTTGACTCTCAAGACTCAGTTTTAGGAGGGTCAGTCTGTGAGATATTTAACCAGTTTATTTTTTCAGTATTGTTTTGCATTCGGAAGGAAATTGTGGGTGCCTGGAGAAAATTTTACAAATAGGATTGGATTACACCAGGGATGCATACGTATATGCAGCTTCCTATTGGTCTCCAAATTCATTCCTTCTTCATAAATTGGAATACCTGCTGTGAGAGTGGACATAGGTATAAAGACACTTGCACTATTTTGATTATGCAGTCTCGGTGACGGGCTTGCTGTTGTAGGGCCAAATATAGTTTGAATGGCAGACTTGACAGTGATATTAATTTACTGACACAATTGTAACTCAAGTTGCTGTCAAAATATCTTATACTTTTAAATATAGTTTTTCTGTATATTAGATTGGAATTTATTTACTGTTGTGACATTTTATTTCTGCAATGAATGTGATTTATTTATGGAAAACCATGAAATATGGATATTTATTTCTTCCAAATAGGTGTTTAGTCTTGCTTATTTTTTAAAGGAAATATTTTCTCACTTAACCCAAAAGTATTCCAAATGCACTTTTCCACATCTAAATAACAGACCTCATCAAATGTTCATTGGCATATAATTAATTTGTTTTTATTTGGTAAAAACAAATAACGATTTGCATTACAGCTGTCGTATGCATCATGTATGCAAGTTATTTTTTACTACATCACATAGATTTGTAGCTTCTAATGTGTTACTTTTTTTCTAATAGTGTTAACAAAATATAAACATTTGGCATAATTACATTTTTTATTTCTTGCAAGCGAATGCATTTTTGCCTTTAAATAACTCAATTCGTAGTGTAATGGTTGCTTAAGTTTGTGGCTTGCCTCACCACAGGTGTTTTAGGAACATCTTAAGTGCAAAACGTCAATATTTGTACGCTCTGATTAAATTAGTGTGTTTGGAGAACAAATGGTGAATTTTTTTAATTGACTGAAATGAAAATACAGTGAAGACCATGAGCTGTTTATTACAGAAGCAAATGCCATGCACTATTTTAAACTACTGTAGTTATACATAATTCTCATCAATAATTATTAATGGCGTAATATGTGTTGTACGCACTTGCCTTTGAACAAAGTATGTATTTGAGTGGAACGTAATTTTTATATGCCATTTCTCCATCGACCAAAGAAAGTAATCGTACCACTGTCCCAGTTTGCACAATTGACAATTCCTGCTGGCCATTAATGTGGTCGCTTTGATGAATGCAGAGTGGGTGAATCCATTACACATGAAATAAGAGGGAGGAATCTTATTATGCGTATTTTATTCTTTCCTTGTCAAATTAATTCTGCAATCTGACATTTAGTGACATTTTGGCATGGTGCAAGCGGTTGTATTGGCATTGGTCTGCGACCTTTTCATTATGGAGCTTCATTAGCAGCTTTTGAAATATGTATTCCTCTCTGAGTCATGATGACACCAACATTCATCCAAAGGAAAGCAGAACCAATCAAATATCAGTGATATTTTGATAGTTTGCAAGTTACAACTATGGTGGACCAAGGTAAATTAATGAGCGTTAAATGCATTTCTCATTTTCAAGCCATCAGTTGTATCATTAGGCTGGAGAGGGTTCATGTTCATCTCAGTACAGTATTTCTTTTCAGTGGAAGGTACAATTATAATCACAATATTGGTTGCTGTAAACGTTAATGAAGAAGCCTAATTTAATACAGTTAGAATTTTGGCTTTAGTCTGTTGGTGTGCAGCACATATGGTCAAATTAATTCTATGTCCACTTAATAACTCTTTAGCTTATATATGCATGACCCAACTGCAACTTTCACTATATCGCACCTGTAAATCATGTTATAAAATACTGTATGGATAAGTCTTTGCATGTGTATTTCTTCTTCTTCTTCTGTTTTTCTGCCATGTGACTATGAATATTCTGTGTTTTCCCTTTCTGCGCGTGGACGGGGGAACATCACTGAGAGTGATGGGTATGTTGATCTGTAACTCGATTTTGTCGTACTCACCCTATGTTCTGTAACTACGATCTATGGAGGGAAGTGGTCAAGTTGGTATGTGCCGTCCATACAGGGCAAGCATCACATGAATCAATGTCCATCTGTACTGCCCACTATGTCAGAGAAAAAATGCTTCCCAGCAGAACCCAGCAGCTCATTTGAAGGTTCATCAGACCAAAGTTAGTCATAATCTCTATTCATTATTTCGGAGGCATTATATTTTCCCAAAAATGGACACCAGCAACTAATTTCTATAAGCTGTGGCCCTTCTAGAAATTGTCATTTGACTTTGTCTATTTAACTTTTGTGAGATATCCGTATCAGAAATGTAGTGTCTGATTAACAAAACACAGGGACTCTCAAGCCTTAATGTACGGTGGTATATTTGGAATGCCACGCTTCCTTTCCAGCCGTCACCATGGGCATTATAAACCACTGGTTTTATCGTGAGGGTTTCAACACATTTGCATGTGAATTAAGAAATCAGCTCGCTGCTGTGGCCACCCAAACTTCAACTGCATTCGTATGCATGCTGCTTTGGATGGGCGTGATGTAGTGTTGACTCAACTGCTCTGTGTTTATTGTCTGAGACTGAAAAGAGCAGCCCATCTGACAGTTAATACAATAGGTCCTTTCAGGTGCATTATGTTCAGTGTAACATCCAATCACAGCATCGAAACATTCACTTCAACGTTGTATTTGTATTTGTGCCAATCTAAATCTAGTAAAATGTAATGATGGCAGCCACTTTGGGAAAGTGTATGCCAATATGATGTAGTGTTTGTATGTGAGGAGCGGTGGTACACTGGTTAGCGCACTGTGTTATGAACCTGTAAACCTAAGTAAACATTTTCACATCTGGCTAATATCAGTGGCAAGTGGTATTAGAACTTGTCCTGGGCCTCCCTGAGACTTAAATGATGCCTTGTACCATGTGAAAACATCAGCGCTTGGGAGACAGACGGCCATGCGTGGTGCTGGTCACACCACCCCCATCATGCCCTGTGTGCCGCCTTCATAGGTGCTCACTGACAGCAAGTTGCTCCAACAGTCTCTGTAGGCTGTATGCGGGGATATTTGTGTTTTTGTATTGTGTGTCTACACGTTTGCACCAAAAGCATAACATTATAATGTCTGTGCCGTTTCTTGAAATAAATACCTCCTTGTAATACGTACGTGAAAAAAAAAGTCTGCATGTGGAGTGGCTAACTTGCGGAATCTGGAATTGTATTAATTCTAGGTTGTCTTGTGAGTGCACTTGCCTCTTGAGTCCAATAACATGTATTTGCTGTCCCCAGTGCTGTTTCCTTCTGTATATGTGACACAGGGCATCAAGAAGCAATATCCCTTAAAGGAACATTCATTCTGTTGTCCAATTAATTATGCGGCACAAATGATCCCACAGCCCTCTTTGTGCATACAGGCCTCTCGTCGTTTCTGTTGTAGCCTAAAATATCCTCACATTTTGCACCTGCCACATTGATGGTCTTTTATTGAACAACACATTGTTGAACGTTACTTGTAAATCCTCCATGGAATGTTTCAAACTTTGGCGTTTAATACAGGTTGAAGAAATGAACGAACCGTCAAACCATTGCACTGCATCGTTAGGATTTTAAGGTCTTTACTGTGCCTTTTTTCGGTGACACCCGTGCTGTTGTGTATTGGCTCAGTTATAACAGCCTGCCCAGCCGCAAGACGCTCAAGAACTCACGACTGGTCAGCCAAAAGGACGATGTCCACGTGTGCATCATGTGCCTGCGGGCCATCATGAACTACCAGGTGGGCAGGCAGCATCTCTCAACAACCTGACATTTTACCCTTTCCAATTTCCGATGATGTACCGTTCAAATGACGTACACGAACCAGGTGAGAAAAAACTACATTAAAATAACTTTATCAGTACCAAGGCTCTCACAAGGCCATGCGAGAGGGCGTGTGGCACTGTTTGGCACCATCTATCATACAGTGTGGTCGTGTCGCTACAGTTCTGTGCAGTGAGTACAATGTTTTTAAAAACAACGGCGCTGTGCCTCTAAATAAAATTAATGCCGAACCACTTGCGCGTTCTGAGGTTCAGTGATGAACGGGACACCCACCTTGCACCTTTCAGGCGTCTTGGAATGGGAAAGGGTTAATCACTCCTTTTACATTCATAATACAACAGTAACATCTCCACCGTTAATCGACAGTGTTCTGTTTTCTATAACGTTTATATTAGGGGTACTCAATATATCGATCTGCCTTCCGGATTTATATATATTTTGTGACCTGTAGTAAAGCTATAGAGTTTAGATATATATTCTAAAAGTAAACCTAATGAAAGTTCAATATTTTGAGTGTTTCATTCTCAAAAGTGTATTTCTTTGAAAAAGAGGCAAATAAGTATGAACATTTGACCATCACATTCATATAAAAATGTTGAAATACTTGTGACTTTGAGGTCATTTGCATCATATAATGAGGCAAGATATCTAAAAGGTAGTGTTCACTTATGTTTTTGAAACTCATTAAGTTATTATCATAACTGAAGCCATGAGACTTTTTAATTTTCACCTACAGTGATGACTCTAGGTTGATGTACGAGCCCATTAAGCTCCAAACAAAATGGGCACTTAATGAAAATGATCACAGTGAAATTCAATGTTTATGCTGTTTATGAGATTCACAATTGTGGCCATAATAGAATTGTGGTTTTCTCATCCTCTTGATGTTTCCTTGTCTCTTTCATAGTATGGGTTCAACATGGTGATGGCACACCCTCAGTGCGTTAATGAAATTGCTCTCAGCTTGAACAACAAAAACCCAAGGTATGAAACATACGTTAGTTTATTGTACAACTAAAACAGCAGGGCTTTTCAAACCCAAGTCCACACCATCCCTCAGCACGGGTTTTTGTTGTTATCAAATTGTCATATGTGTGCATTGCGTAGTGGCCTGGCTTGTGTATGAATGTAGAAGATTGATATTTAAACCTTCCGTGACTGCAGGAATTCATATTCCTTGGGTCTTTTGGTAAAGTCACGTAGGTAGGTTCAAAGAAAATAACAAAAAACTAGGATGACGATCGCTTGAGTTGTGATCGAAACGTCATAGTTTTTTTTGTTCTTTTTTGTTATTTTCTTTGAACCTATCAACGTGACTTTACTGAAAGACCCAAAGAATAAGATTGATATTTGTTGAAAGGCATGTTGTGGTAGTGTGCGAAGACTATTGTACGGGAAGCCCCCATATTAACGAGACAAACATTTACATGAAAGTTGTATTACTGTTGGCAAGCAATGGAAAAACATTGACAACATGTGTTGAGGCTGCACATGTAAATGATTAATAACATTGGAGTGTGTTATTGTTCACACTGCTGGTGTATTACGCTTCACTCTGGGGTGATGCTGCTGTTTTGTGGGTCATGTGCCTGTCAGGACTAAAGCGCTGGTGCTGGAGCTTTTGGCAGCTGTGTGTTTGGTGCGGGGAGGACATGAAATCATCCTGTCTGCCTTTGACAACTTCAAGGAGGTGAATCTTCATCAGAGTTGACAGACCAGTGAGAGATACTTGTTTGGCATGGCTGAGATGACGTGCCATGCAAGGTGTTCATATGTGCAAAGTAAAGTTTCCTTTACAGTGAACTATTTGATCATTAGTAGTGCAGTGTGATAATACGGATAGGTTTTACCCTTTCTAGCAATAAAACAGGTGTTAAGATGTCACATTTAATATTGTGTGAAACATACCTCGCCTGGTATGCAAAAGATCTTGACCCTGACGCCTGTATATTTGGAGTGTGCGTGTCTCTCTCCCCGTGGTCGTGTGGATTTTTCTCCAGTTGTTCCGGTTTTTCCCTCCACATTTAGAAACATGCATACAAGAGTATTTGGCTGCTTTAAATTTCCACATGATACGCCACTTCATTGAGCTACCATTTGTGGCCAGCTCACTTATGAAAAAGAGCTATACAGCTCAGTGGGTCTTACCTGCTAAAATACAAGTTTTAGTATATTCAAAGTCAACGGCCGCCCCGCTCCAGTCCGATTGAAATATTATGTCCAATGTTGCTGGCTATTTACATTTGTTTAGAAATACTTAAACTGAATGCTAATCATAAAAAAAAAATGCAATGATTTGCCTTTCCCCCCGCATCCCCTTGCATTGCAATGACATTGCAACTCAGGGATGTGATTTGATTCAATAAGTGAATCAAAATGTTATCATACATTGAGAGTGTCTGCAGGATATACATGAACCATTTGCATACAAATCAAACAATCAATCTTCTTATTCTTTGTTCTTTCGGTAAAGTCACGTGGGTCTTACCTTCTACGTGGTGACTTTACCGAAAGAACCGAGAATGTGAATCCCTGCAGTCACGAAAGCTTTAAATAAAAAAAATCAATCTTCTATGATGTATCTATGTATGTTGAACTTTTTTCGCAACCATATGTGGCCAACCATGCTAATCAGAGGTGTGTGGGAAGGAGAACAAACTAAACACAAAAATAAGTCATAAAGAAATGGGTTTTCACTCTAGATTTAAAAGTACATGGCTTCAGTGGCTTCCTAATATCAATATGATGCATGCATCATGAACATCATAAGCATAATAGTCGATTATAATTAGTGAATTGATGCATCATTATATGTATGATATATAATTTATACTGTACTAGCTAAAATATACTTTGTGGTTAAAACACGTGTTCAGTGTTGCAGTTGGTGTGTCAGCAGTTCTCCTGCTGTGTTTGTTTCACCTGATGACGGTCGCTTGTGTTGCGATCGAAACGTCGTGATTAATTTTCTATCTACGTGACTTTACCGAAAGAACCAAAGAGTATAGAATATCTTTCTACATAAAAAAACATGTATTTTTGTATTTTAATATACATATTTGCATAATTATTTAAAGCAAATGAGAGATGATCTTACAGGCCATCATAACCTCCTGTTAATTTTTCTGGTGCAATTTGTGTCATTCTGTGTGAAGGCTTAATATAACCAAAGAATAATTTTAACACAATTGTAACTACAGTTGGCCATCTGGGTGGCGTGGAAGAGTAGGCCCAAATACATACCGTCTATAGGGACTTTGTAGAGCTCCCTCGAGTAGAGGACCTTCTTCGAGAGTGGGATGAGAAAGACATTTCAGGGCTGTATGTTGGAACTATAATATAAACATCTGGCCAAGTGGCTCCCTGTGGCAGATCAATCTCTCCACGAGTTTCAATCCCCGTGCTGGGCCCATCACAGCGAGCGGGATATGCAACATTGTGCCGTCCTGATCCATTCACGTTTTTTTCCAGTGATGAGACTTGTGATGCTGGGGAAGTGCAGCCTTCATTGCACAGGGATTTGGGATTGCTAGCCAAGAAGAACCTCTGTGGAGAATTTCCACTTCCCTCTAAAACCTGCACGCGAGAAGAACTTTATGCCAGATGTGTTTCAGAGTTATGCACCCCAATGTATGAAACTTCAAGAAATATTTTCCACTGACATAGCATGGAAGTAATTTTGTATGGTTTCAATATACTGTATGTTATATAAGCAAGCATGAAAAGTATATTTCCTTTAAGATTTTGAGTCTACACAGTTGGTGACTTTCCAACATGCTTTATTGAAACCTTGGAGTATCCTAAAATCCAGACATAGCGTTTCCTGTCTGCTATGGGCTTTTTTTCTCGTCTTAGGGTTAAGCTGTCACGTTTCGCATGTTTACTTGAACCGAATGCCTTGCCTTTGCTACTACTGTGAATTGACTGCTCCAAGATTCATCCATCACTCAGCTCCACAGTAAATGTATGGCATGCAGTGACCACCAGCAGCTCATTCAATTTTATGGAATGCCTTGTCAATGCCAATTATAACCTATGCAGTGCCAGTGTCTGTTGATTGGTGAAGACTGTTACTCACGACCAAATGTAAAAAATATGTACAGTACATTAATGGAAAAATTATTTTCCTGGCAGGAAGCAGTAATATGGATGACTATTTTATTTATTTGGCAGATTTAGATGCACGATGCTGTTAAAAATCATGAATACCTATGGTTTCTGTAATAATTTCCAATCTGCATTTGTCCTCGGGTGTATTTAGTTAGATATAATAACGTTACTTTCTAAGCCACACAATTCGATGATGTCACATAGCACGTGATGTTTGAGGTCTCGAGGTGACATCACACGCAATAACATCAAGGGGGGAGGCGGGGCACACACTCATTGTGGCATCATGGCCTTGGTTGTCGAGGCGAATACTTTAAACGCTGGGTTTTGTTGCCAAAATTTTGGCAATACTTTGATCAATTTGACCAGTTTTATATAAAGCAACACAAGTTTACACAAACATGTCACTGATATTGTATCATCTTCACGACCATTATCGTGCATCCTCTGTTATAGACAGACCAAACCAATTGAGCAAACATATTAACGCCTTCAACAATTTATATGGATGGATGTATCAGAACGATGATCTTGTTTCATGGCACCCAAACACCAGTTAACTCTTACCTTTCGATTGTGCACAGGTGTGTGGCGAGAAACAACGGTTTGAAAGGTTGATGGAGTATTTCAGAAATGAAGACTCAAACATCGACTTCATGGTAAACGGAAACAAGCCAAGACAGACTGTTTTTCAAATGTAAGACTATACGCAAAAAAATGCGTATTTACAACTTCGCATTAATATTTTTTCTTTTCTTTTCTTGCAAAGGTGGCCTGTATGCAGTTCATCAACATTGTGGTGCACTCCGTGGATGATATGAATTTCCGGGTCCATCTCCAGTACGAGTTCACAAAGTTGGCTCTGGACAGCTACCTGGAGGTGAGTGTTCATGAACAGGATGCCCCAGATATCCTGGAAGATGTATCCCGCACCTTTACATTCTGAGCCTTCCTGGTCACACAAACAACATTGCCTATGCCCATATCACCTGGAATGCACCTGATCTCATATCGCAGAAGCTTAGGTTGAAGCCTCGGTAGGACTTGGATGCTCAAGCACCATACATAACAGGCTGTGGTGGGCTTCCGTGGTGAGCAGCAGAGGGAAGTGCAGAAAAATCTAATATTGTACTGTACTTCTATGCTGGAACGTCTATAATCTCCACATTCACCAACTCGCACTGACGAGCGTGATTGAGTGATCAAATAACACTGGTGGTGTGGGGAGACTCTCCTCCAGCTGTGAATTGACAAAAGGGCTGTACATGTACTGTACAGTTCTTGTTAAAGATGTTAAAGATCTAATGAAGCCATCACCAAACACTGCTGTATATCTTTGCTGATCACTTTGGCCGACCCTCATATGTTTGATCCTGTATTTATTTGATTACTGTCTGAATATAACATAACATCTCAATATCTCAGCTTAAGCCACTTGTTCAGGATATAAAGCCTAAGAGAGAGGGTTAGTAATACACTGGATATTTGGGTAGCACATCAGTTAATACGCTACTCCCAACCTGGCCCCAATTCTAATAAGGCTGGAGGTTGACATTTGTGTGTCTGTCCCGGTCCCGCAGAAATTAAAGCACACGGAGAGTGACAAGCTGCAGGTGCAGATCCAGGCTTATCTGGACAATGTGTTTGATGTGGGAGCCCTTCTGGAGGACGCCGAGACCAAGAACGCTGCCCTGGAGCGGGTTGAGGAGCTGGAGGAGCACATTTCGCACGTGAGTCTACCCTGCCACTCGGGTGCAACTGCTGTGGGGGCAGAGCCGTCTCATCCAATAGGCGCACAGTAGGCACTGTCTAGGGCCTACGAAAACTAAAGGGCCAACGAAAAATAAAAATGTGCATGTTTTTTGTTTGTATGATGAAACATTTAACGACGATATCTTCTTTAATAAATATATGTATATACCAAGGATATTCACAGTGTTTCAAATTAAATTTGCTTATCTACGGCACACAGTGCGCTCCCATCGAATTAGGGCACATACTACATAATGAACGTATCAGTAACGACATCTGTCCAGCGACTGGACGAAGTACGCATGAAACAAGCGAGTGACAGCGGCGGTAGTAACATGGGGCGGCAGTACCAACTGTAGAAAGTTATCACTGAAGGCCAACAAGAACCTTAATCCGACCTTGTGTGGGGGTCCTGGGTATGTGGAGCCCAAACATGTTTACATGTGACTAAGAGATACACACTTATTTTAAACAAGGCGACATGAATGTGCTGTTATGCTGATGATCGATTTTTTTAAATTTACATCAGCGCAAGAACAGTTAACTCATTAGATCCCGACCCTGACTCCAGTTGATTTGGAGTTTGCTTGTTCTCTCTCCCGGTGGTCGTGTGGATTTTTCTCCAGGTTCAGAGTATTTGACGGCTATAAATTTCCACGTGATAAGTCACTTTGTTGAGCTATCATTTGTGACCAGGTTACTTCTGAAAAAGAGTTATATAGCTGAACGGGCCTTACTTAGCAAACTAAAAAATAGTTTAGTTTATTAGTTTAGTTCATGACAGAGTCGTGAAGATGTAATATAATTGTAGTGCAGTAGAACTACTGCTATTTAATGATGAAGTAGTGGGGGCGGGGGATAACGTCACGTAGTGTATCTGCTATCTAACCAATAGCCTCTGGGAATTATTATTTTGTGGGACACCCCCAAACCTCCACAGCGTGGCTGCACTTCTGCTATCACGGCTGTTTTACTGAATATTAGCAAAGGCTACGTTTCTGAAAACACACGATTTAGGTTCTCAATTATGAACTTTGAATTTAATAGCTTTTGTTTTAAATATTACTGTAGTTTGTCCACTGTGCATATTTACAAAGGGTTTCTTCGAAGCATAATAAGAGTGATGGCTGCATCTTTTTCCCAGTTGACAGAAAAGCTGATCGATTGTGAGAATGAGGCCATGGCCAAGATTGTGGAGCTGGAGAAGCAGCTGATGCAGGCTAATAAGGAGTTGGAGTCGATCAAGGTACGAGTCCTGGCAAAGTGCAATGCGCATTGTCATGCATTTTCAGTTTTTGTGCAACTTTCCTTTTGAAAAGTCTTCTTTTCTTAATGTAGTGTCAGCAAAGGGATCTGGATTATTTGTTTGTTTATATATTTTTTAAGATGTGGATGTAGGTAATATAAATGTCTAAGTCAACTGAAAGGATGTGCATACTCAAATGGGCATTGGACTGCACTTGGTGGCCCTGGACTAGTATTTAGCTACGAAACATTTCCATACAATAAGTCACTTCGTTGAGCTATCATTTGTGGCCAAGTCGCTTATGGAAGAGAGCTCCGTTGGCCTTATCTGGTAAAATAAAAATAGTAAACAGTTAGTGATAGAAATGCCAAATTTCTATACCAGGAGTAAATTTTTCAATTAAATAACTGCGGTATATTTTCCAAAATACGGTACAAATGTTATGATCCTTGAAGGTATTTTGTCTGAGTTGACCCACGACCAGGATTTGAGCATCATCTTTCAGTTGTGAGATGAGTGCTCTTATGTTTGGATTACTGTTTGGATTACTTCAAATGATAAACTAGAAAAAAATGTTTATGAACAACGAATACACAGTAAGCAGTCAGCACAGATGCTCACTGATCACTCTTACTATTCCGCTGGCATTACCTGGCTCTCTACCCGTTTTGTTGTTGCAGGTGATCTACCGCGATGCCAACACGCAGGTGAACACGCTGCGGATGATGATCAAGGAGAAGGAGGACGCCATGCTGCGGCAGTCGGACCTTGAGAAGAAAATCGAGGAGCTCGAGAGGCAGGGCACCGTGCGCATCCACAGACGCCCGGACGGGGACATCATGATCCTGCCCGTGTTGCCGCCCCTCGGGGCCATGGAGGGTGGAATCGGCGGCGGCTCGTTCGAGAACGGCCTGGCTGGGGGGGGCGCCTTTGGGGTCACGGGGGTGGCAGCGGCGACGTGCGGCGCTACGGGAGGAGCGGCGTTAATCGGACACATGGGACCGCTGGCCCCGCCTCCTCCGCCACCGCCGCCCCCGCTGCCGAATGGAGCCGGTTAATACTTTTTTGCAGCCCTTACATCTTGTTTTCCTTGTTATCGCTTCAATGTGCATGGGGTTTGTCCAGGCAATTTGTTTTCCTCCCACATGGGAAATATACAGTAATGATTGGGCAAAACATTTCATGCAAGACCTCTTAGATACACAGACGACTGTTGATCCGAAATTGCAACTATATTTGTAACTAAATTAAGCGTGCAATAAGCCGTCTCCAGTGAAAGCTCAGTTACATCGGTCTATTGTGGGTTTTTTGTTATATATATTTCGTTGTTTTCTCTTGGTTGCCCCGGTAATGGGTTTGCCTCTGGTTTATGTTTCCCTGGTGCAGTTCCAAATGGGCCATCTCCACCATCGCCACCGCCGCCACCGCCCCTCCCCTCAGGGAGGCCCCCGCCGTCACCTCCTCCCCCGCCTCCCCCCGGAGCCCCACCACTGGGTGCCTTCATCAACCCAGCTGCTATCGGAGGTGAGGTAACGGAACCACCCTTGTGTAAGCTTTTTAATTGCACCGATATGTTGTGTTACTGAGTGTCCAACAAAGCCTTGTGTTTTTTTTTTATTCTCACCATTGTAACAATATTCTAATACTGTGTATCACTGTATCATGCGTTTTGGCAGTATCAGTGACTCCTGGATGATTTTGTTTCTCCGTTACTTTCATGTTTTTAACGTTTAAATGATTATGTTTTCATTTTATGCTTGCTCCTCCGCTTCCAGATGAAGGACTTCTCAAACTTTTCTGTAGGTTTGCTTTGCGTTGCTTTTTCGCTGTGCAATGTTTATCCCATTCCAAAATCGTATCTGTCTTACTAACAACAACAACAACAACCATAAAACTGTTTGCACAGTTTTAGAAAATCACCTGCATTGGACAAAACAGAGCTAAAACCCAACCTGACCCTGATTTGGCCTAATTTTAAAACAAAGTGTACTCATAGAAACAAATCAAAGAATTTATCAATTAATTGTTGAATTTTACGTCTTTCTATATCGTTTTACTATTTGTTGCTCCCTCATAAAGTTTTGCTTCTGTTTTCTATGTGGATGTTTTTTTTTATTTGTGTAGTCTATTTTTGTGCAATTCTAACCCCCAGAGATTTCATGTCATTGTGTGTCTTCACGGTAATACTGTCAATGCTGACAGCACAACTCACTTTTTCGCTTCCACTCCATGCCAGTGTGCATCACAGTATTGTATGTCGCCATCACTATCCGTACAGTCTAATTCAGCACACGGTCGGTCATTTGTTAAAGTTTTTTCAAGGACAAATTCAGCTTGTAATATTTCTAATGATGAAATTGTTCTCTATTCTTTTCCTCTACAGCTGTGCGAATTAAGAAGCCAATCAAAACCAAGTTTCGCATGCCTGTGTTCAATTGGGTGGCTCTTAAACCCAACCAAATAAATGGCACCGTCTTCAATGAATTGGATGACGAAAAAATTCTGGAGGTACCTGACCTGCTCATTTTTTCAGAGTAATTGTTCTTAGCTAGCTTTAAGCTATATTATACATGAAGAATATGATGTTGAATTTAACAGTATTGTAAATGTCCTTTCCGCTTCAAAGACAAACATGGTTGGCAAAACTAAATAATTACAAATGACAGTCTTTAAAATGGCGTTTAACATTGTATATAACAATATATCCAAAGACCTGCCATTGGGCAGAGGACTTAAGAGTAACTATATTTAAATAAATGTCATTGATTAAACACTTGATGTAACTATGAGAGTACCTATTGAGTCTTCTACAAGAGAGACCTATGTAAATTTGTTGAGATACAATGACTATGAATAGAATAGAACATCTTGAAAATGAACAAATGATGCAAAAATCTATCCTGTATCAATTACAGTTATATACACGAAGGAAACATTCTGTATATTTAAATATTCAGTGAACATAGCATATACAGTATATTTTAGCCATCCCAAATGATGTAAACTACTTCCACACACAGGTTAAGCATTTATATATTCATTACGAAACAATAAAAGTGTATGCAAGGACACAATTAACAGCTACAACTCGATTGTGTATAATGCACTTTAATGTCATGTAAATTCACAATAACCTCTACAGCTGCCTGCATTATCAGCCTCATCGTCAGATACAGGAGGGGTCCTCTCAACCTGTCAGGTAGCCTAAGCGGCCTTATCCTTTGTATTACCCCAGGAGCTGGACATGGATGAGTTTGAGGAGATGTTTAAGACCCGGGCACAGGGAGCCACAGTGGATCTGTGCCTCTCCAAGATAAAGATGGTGCACAAGACGCAGAACAAGGTCACACTGCTGGAGACAAACCGTGCCAAGAACCTGGCTATCACCCTGCGGAAAGGTGGCCTTACCACCGAAGAGATCTGCCGGGCCATACAAATGTAAGTCGTGTGATGCAGTCACATTAACGTCCCAGCGTGCCGAGCCTAACATGTACGGTACCGATAATTGTTGTTTTTGTATTTCCTGACCAAAGATGACAGTGCTGACAGTGTCATGAATTGTGTGGGTGACCGTGGCTGTGAAGACTAATCTGTGAGTGGCAGTCTTTCCCACAGTGAATGTAAGTGTAGATTGATGTTATACCGAAATACCAGTGATAATACTGGGCAGGGTGGTGCACGCCCTGTAATGCAGCAACTTGGAAGTTGGAGCGAATGGATTTGTGAGGTCTCCACCTGAAGGGCTAAACAGTGACCGTTAGATGCCAGATCAGTAAGTGGTAGCTGACCATACGTATGTGTTTGAATGTTGCCCACTCATACAAGTGGGTTTTATCCAATAATTTTTTTTTACCCAATTCTAAACATGTTCAATATGAAAGTGACCAAATATCCGTTCAAGGCCCTTCTGGAAAAATAATCTTTCCACTCACTTGGAACTTTCCTTTAAAAAAAAAAAAACCCACTAAATATTAATACGACACCATTTACAAAGCCGCTTATTACGACCAAGTCTATAATACGCCCCCCAGAGCTTTGTAACCACCACATGTCCGCTCAACGGTTGTCGGGCGGTCATTGTCTCTCTTTTGTTTGGGTGCGGCAGGTTTGACCTGCAGACACTGCGGCTGGACTTTGTGGAGTGCCTGACGAGGTTCCTCCCATCGGAGGCTGAGGTGAAGCTGCTGCGTCAGTATGAGCGAGAGCGCAAGCCGTTGGACGAGCTGGCAGACGAGGACCGCTTCATGCTACAGTTCAGCAAGATCGAGCGCCTCACGCAGCGCATGACCATCATGATCTTCATCGGAAACTTCACCGAGAACGTACAGATGCTCACTCCAGTGAGTCTTGTTGCATCGTGATCGCTTAATATTTATACCACACCACACACAGTGCACCTTGTGTATGGCGCCTTGCAGCCAGGAACCCCTCCCCCCCCCCCCCCCGTGGTAGCTGTCCCTGCTAGCTTGGCAATGGCCAGAAAGTGGGCATCAGTTGGCCACTAGGGGCAATGTTGTAATGCTGCTTTACCAATTAAGTAATTTATGAGTAATTTGTCAAATTTGGAAAAATATGAGTAACCCATCGCATTGCTTGTGCTGAAACGCTTTACTGTATTGCTACTCGAGGCCGATTGTGCTTGTACCGATCGTTGGCACCAAGGTTAGAGTGCTCACGTTACGAGTTCATGTCACAGTCGGTGCTTGACTCGGCCTATAATTGCACCTGGAGCGATAAAACAAGTACAACTTTTTAGGAAGTAGATGGGAGTTGTATCATAGAGCTGTACAGTTTTCCCTGTTTCCTAAACTCAGCTCAGCCTCAGTGGTGGCTTATCAGGGAGCACTGATTCTAATTGTTATTTTATGTGCAAAGTTTTAGTCATTTTACAGACAGCTGTAGCTTACCTTGTTTTGGAGCTGTTCATATTTTTCAGTAGTTCACTATTCAATAGCAGTTATCCATAAATGAGATCCGTCATTGTCATGTCTTCTCTCATCGTTATTTCTGTGTGCTTTTGTTTTACAGCAACTCAATGCAATAATAGCAGCATCCATGTCAATTAAGTCTTCTCACAAAATAAAAAAGATATTGGAGGTATGTTTGCAAAGTACAACATTTACCAGGGTCAGTCAATAGGTATTGAACATGGGACATTAACATGCTTATTATTTACACAGGCTGCAAGATATAATAACATGAAACATAAAAATGTGTTCAAAGTAATTCAATGTTTATTCAGCTTTATTGTCTCATTGTAAAAACAAATTGGCCATCGTTTGTAATAAGGCACCACTGATTTATTACAGCTTGTATTGGTTTTGCTTCCAGCTTCATATTGGTTCAGAAACCTTTTGTCATTGGTACTGCACTGTTATCCTCTGCCAAATCACAGATAATCTTGGCCTTTGGAAACTACATGAACAGCAGCAAGAGAGGTGCTGTGTATGGCTTTAAGCTCCAGAGCTTGGATCTGGTAAGACTGTGCACTTTTTATTTTCACACTGGCTAAAAAGAAAAGAATCCTATAACTGCTGTTTGTTGCTGGCTGCTTGGTATTTTGGGCCTTCATGCCTGTGTTCAGAAACCTTGATATATATTTTTAAAAATACGTGTCATGCATTATTCACAATGTTGCACTTTCTCTTGGATGCCCGTCGTCCCTTCTCTTGCAGCTGATCGAGACGAAATCAACTGACAGGAAACTGACCTTGCTGCACTACATTTCCAACATCGTGCAGCACAAGTACCCAGACCTGGTCACTTTCTACAATGAGCTGCGCTACATCGAGAAAGCTGCCGCAGGTACGCGCTCCGTTTTCATGCGTGCTACACAATCTTCAGAGAAGCGATTATTTAAAATTATCTCGATTGAGCTGACTGGGTGCAGTCACTAAGCCAGCGCCGCTGAAAGTTATGGGTTCGCATCCAGGTAGCCACCCCATGATTAAACCCGGTTCTCATGTGTGGTGAGTGCATGGTCTCAATCCAGTCAACAATGACTGCACATAAAACATATCTATTTCGTTTTGCACTTCATTTACATAAATCCAAGTGCTAGATTTAAAAACAAATATCTGTTGGACTGCCATGTGAAGCATTTCTCTGTAGCAGGACATGTTGGAGAGTGCGCCCCCAGACTTAGTGACTATGAATGTCACTTCAAGGGATCCCAGAAGTAGTTCCGTAATATCTCCTTCCATCAGCCATTATCTTAGACATGTGGCGATGCACTCATCTGTAAGAGTTCCGAATGGTTACTCCATCCGATGACGTCAAGAGCACAATTGGTGTAAAATTGGGCAAAATATTTAAAAAAAGATGAAGCATAAAATGTACCATGGTCCACTCACTACATTTGTTAAGCTCAGAGGAGTTATGCAATCCATCTTACCGCTTCAACCTTGCACTGTGGCACATTCATTTGTTTCCCAAATTGAAGGATTGGCCTGGGGCAATACACACTGTGTAACAATGACCTTCAAAGTGTTGTCCTGTAATGTATATGACTTCACAAAAAGAAATACCCTCTAACAGGACATTCAGTTGACCTCCAAATGAGATGTGTATCCCAGATGAAAAATAAGGCATTAGAACGACAAGTGACCTATAACACCTAACCTATTTGAGTAGATTGTTACGTTCAATAGTCTGACAATACATTGCACTGTCCTTGCACCGAACACATTCATTGCAGTGCCAATGCAAAGGTAAAGGTGCAGCTCTGATTAATAATGCCACTGCTGGTGGTAGGAGCAGCTCTAGAAAGCCTCTCTAAAAGGTATTTGGCCTACTCTTCCACACTGGACAAACATCTCGGAAGAGGTGGGAGTAACCCACACTTTGCCAGTATGCGACCTGCAGATCGAGCGTTACCGATGTATGTATCCTGATATCAATAACCAATGCCAATTGTTGTGTTGCTGCAAACATTCTTAAAATATTATGGACAAGGGGATGTGATGGCTGTTTGTTTTTATCGGCATTGAAAGCTCATTGCACCTTGAGCCATACGTAATTTTTTGAGAGTGATTGATGCAGACGTTGTACTTCTTGGCGCCTTGCTCTGGCGCAGTGTCGATGGAGAACGTCCTGCAGGACGTGCGGGAGCTGCAGCGCGGCATGGACCTGACCAAGCGCGAGTTCAGCATGCACGAGAGCAACACCCTTCTGCGTGAGTTCCTGGCGCCCAGCGAGGCCCGGCTGGAAAGGCTGCTCAGCGACACCAAGACCGCGCAGGTGCCACTGACGACGCTACTACCATCACCACCAGTGTTGATTGTGCAATTTGTGACTCAAATGTTTGTCAACCAAAGTGTTTATTTTGTTTACAATGACCAAAAGCGTGACTTGACGAGATGAATTGAACGAGTCTAAATGAAGACAGGCTAAGATCATTAAATAACGCTGTTCGAGACCACAGTGACTGAAGAAGACTAAACATGGTAATTGACGCTCTATATGTATATCAAAAGATTAAGATAGTTCACTGATTGGCTGACCGGATATAAGGGGGGTAAAAAGTCCGTGCCCGATATTTAATTACGATGAATGGACTAAATGTTTATCTACTTTAGTTAACGATACTAAGATAATTATTCTATGAAATTCACAGACCAAGACTTGGATAAACTGCCACAGATTGTCGATTAGACTATGGCTAAAATCATAAATGCTCACTAAATTAGCGATGGTCACCCCAGCCAGGATATGACAGCAATGATGGTGCCTGTGGCCCCCTGCTGGCAGATTTTTTTTTGCAGCTTCTGGATCCTTTTGCAACGCAGATCTTTGTGTGGCGTGATGGAGGCCATAGCAGCTGCTCCTTATGTTGAGACCCAGTCCTGGAATACGAGGATTTTTTTTGCCCCAGAGATATAAAAATTACGCCACACGTACGAACCAAATGGACACTTGTTATTCCCGTCTAGTAATAAATGCCGTATTTTGTGTGTCTGTAAATCATAATTTGAGTGTCAATGAGCAATGCGTCACAAGGCCCAACATTTTAAAATTGTTGTTTCATGAATTAATTGTTTAAGAGTGCATCGTGGGAACTATGTGACTATTCTTTTTATGCTCATATCTTTAACTAATTCAGGAGGCGTACAACACCGTGGTGCAGTACTTTGGGGAAAACCCCAAGACGACTCCCCCGTCTGTGTTCTTCCCACTCTTAGTAAGATTTGTGAAGGCGTACAAGGTGAGATATGTTTTTTTGCATTATTTATTTTTATTCATTATTTAAGAAGAACTTTCGAACCGAATTACGATTTCTTAATCTCAGACGTCACGCACGCTATGTTTGACATTTCATTGCATATTTCTATCCTGTACTTTTCTCGCAGTGCTTGTTTCCCAGAAAGTTGTGTAATCCTTAGAATTGGGGGCGTTATGTGCGTGTTTTTAACATAACACCGTTAAAAAAATTATGGACGCAATTGCGTGGTGGGGGAGGGGGGGGGGCTAAAGCGACTGTGTTGTAAAGTGGTGAGTTTTGTGCCAGGGCCTCGTACCAAGCCGGGGTGCAATGGTAATAGGCACAGTGGGTGTCAAGTGCCTCCGTTGCTTGCTTCTCTTCTCCCGCAGCAAGCCGAGCTTGATAATGAGATGAAGCGAAGGCAGGAGGAGGCCCTCAAGGAAAAGCAGGAGGAGGAAGCCGCAGCGTTGCTGGCGGCTCAAAAGGTATTTTCAATATTTGGCATAAAGCACTCGGTGGGGGCTTGATGTACCCTAAATGGAACCTCTTTGAATAGACGTATTCAAAAAGAGCACAGGAAGGCAAGGATAAAAGAAGTTGTAAGTGGCAGTTTTGTGCTAATGTCGATGTTTTACCAGCAGTGTGATTTGAGTGGCAATTAAGGTGTTTGGTTAAATTGTGCAATTTTGTTTCCATGCACGACCCCACGTTCCCATGTACGAGTGTTTACATTTACAAATGGATTTTGCGTCTTTCTGTGTGTGTGTTTGCACGTGATCGTGCGCTGTACCCATCTGCCTTCAAATATCACCACCGCAGCTGTCTCCATCGCACCGTAACCGGCGTCAACAGCAGGAGCTGATAGCCGAGCTGAAGAAGAAGCAGGTGAAGGAGCGAATGGTTTACGAGGGCAAAGATGGAGCCATTGAGGACATCATCACAGGTATTGCTTTTCCAGCCATCTACCTCCCCATCACCAGGCTCACTGTGGAGTTGCCTAGTTACTCTATGATTGTGCAGACCAAGTTGATGCCTTTCATAAATGTCACAGCTGTGTGTCATTCAGTGTTTGCCCGCCATCTGTACTGCGTGTGCATAATTTGTCATGTGGTCTAATTATTAACATATTTTCTGCAGCGCTGTTAGAATAAACAACATCGAAATGCAGTAATTCCATTACCAGTGCGTGCGGTATGTCTTGGGTTTGCTACGACAAAGTGTCAGTTTTTATGAATGCGAGGTGTCGCGTATTAGTACAACTTCATGAAAGAAAAAATAATAGCAGGATACTACACGAAACTTTATGTATGGTGATGTTGTTGCTTAGACTCCAGCAACTCATTTGGCACCCAGGTTCTAGTCTATTGCGCTATTCTGCAATAGCATTTTATAGTAAGGCCTGTTGAGCCAGCACTATGCTTATGAACATTATCATCTAGTTTGTAAAACACGTACTGAATGAAATGTCATTCTAATGCCGAATTAAATGTTGAAATGAAAATACATAATGATGAAAATGTAAACCAAGACTTACCGTATGCCATCTGTGCTGTTCTTTTTAACTATTAGTCATGTACATTTCTTACAATTAACTTTTATAACCCGCTGAATTATTTAGGAGACGTTTTGCCAGCAATGCATTAACTCATAGCGAAATCTTAAGCCCTCCTTCCCACTCACCCCACTCTCACGCCCTCTCGCCCTAACCCCTCCCTCCCCTGGTTGGTAACGTGTATTTGTGCACTCCCCATCCCTCCCCACATCCCTCCCCATCCCCTCCCTCCCCCTCCCCTCCCGCCCCCCTCCCCTCCTTCCCTTCCTCCCCCGAATGCCCCACCGCACAGTGCTGAAGAGCGTCCCCTTTACTGCCCGGTCGGCTAAGCGCTGCTCGCGCCTCTTCTGCGAGAACACATCTGCGAGCGAGGAGTCCCACGCCTAAAACTGCTTTAGGACACCCTTTCCCAGCTTTTAACAAGGTCTTAGACCCCCCCCCCCCCCACACTGCCCCCATGCCTCCCCCCATCCCCCAGCCACCCTCCTTCACCTCCTCATCACCTCCATTGCACACCGCAAACTCTCTGCTCTGCTTCCTTGCTAATGCCTGATAGATGCAACATTCTAACTGCATAGGTTTTTGCCGTTGTGCTGTATCGCTCTCCGATGCGTTTTCGGCTTGTGCCGCATGCTGTTGGGCACGATGGAGCGGAACGTCGAACATCGTGCCGAATAACACGTACAACCAGTAAACACCGTGCGTTGCTGTTGGGCACGATGTCTGAAGTTGCGATCGACAAACCAGCATGTTCAGCGAAATGTCGGACATCGGGCCGAACAACCCGAAAGCTGTGACTGCCTATGTCTTCCTGGTGTCGTGCTGCACGCTGGGTGTACCCTGTGTTCCCTGCTCGCGCAGTGTGCCCTGTATTCTTTGCTCGCTGAGTGTGGCCCTCCGACGTTTGTATTCCTATTTTGCTTATTAACTATCGGCTTTTTTGCATCTTTAGTACTAACCTCCTCATAACTGTTGTTGGAACAGGGTCATATTGCATATGTTTGACGCAAGCTATCCTGTGCCCATCACTGTGGAAGGATTTGTGATGTTGTTTCATTTCATTAATTTGATATTGCTTGCATGGATCTTACCCTTCGAATAACTCGCACACTATAAACAGTATATGGATATTAGAACTCCGGTTATCCACATAATTTACAATATCTTGCACAACCATTAACTTCCATTCTGCCGCTGATATTATTAAAAACAGATTTAAAAGGCATTTGGCCTCGCAGCAATTTAAAAAGAAAGATTATGATTCAGATGATAAGACTCCATATTTTATTAAACTTCACAAACGTGACAGTGGCAGTAGATATGCAATTTGTATTATATTGACATCACACCTTCGGGGCTAGAAAGCGATTGTGACTGCTACCCGAATACAATATAACACTGAGATATGTTTAAATATCGATGTGATTAAAAACAACTGCTGGCAAGGTCTTTTAATGAAAATATATCAGCATTGCTGAGCCGAGCTGTATGCTGACTCTTAATTTAGTGTTCGTTTTCTCGAGAATATATTAATGTTATTAATAGGGGTGAAATTATGCATCAGTTAAAATAGCTTTTTTTTTACACGATGCATTAATTGAATTGTGCGCTTGAGATTCGATTATTTTCGATAATTTGTTCGTGTGACCCCTGCAACCACTAGAGGCGCTATAGTATGCCACTACAAAGTATATATATTTTAAGAATACATGTTTAAATAAAATGACCCTGAATCGTGGCAATTCAATGAATCTGTAGTAAATCGTTGCAGGGATAGTTATGAGTAACTATTTATTGCTATTTTCCCAATCAGAGGGAATCTGCTGAATAACAAGGCACCTTTGTTCTACACTTAATCAGTATGGACAGCTGGGTATAATATGATTTCCTCCGGTTTTCCACTCAATACTGGAAAAGTTGGATGACATAGAAAGCCTCATCATACAAGATGTGACGTTGTACTTCCTGCCAATTTGGCTAGCCACAATGCTCACCCAATGTCTACGCTCATGACTGGAGTTCTAATGCTCTTTTACAGTTTGTATGTACTGCATCACTGTTTTGGATAGAAGTCATACAAATAATGTTGAATGTTGTGGCAGCGAATTCTACTGGCTGTGTTAAACTACTATTATTATTTTATGTATCTTCATCTGCACTTTTTCTGTCCTGCTTTACACCACACTTCATGAAAACAACACAATGTCTCCATGAATATTCAGAGTATACATCTTTAAAATAATTGTGTTTAGCCATGCCAACTTAACTGTTTTTGCTTTTGCTGTTGTTCCATCATGTTGCCTTAACACAGAGAGAGAGCTTTTAAATATAGATTAATTTACCAGTACTTGCTATTTTAGCTTACCAAATGTTACATGTAAAACATATCAAGGAATGTTTGCAGGTTACCTTTTTAACAACAAATGTACGCAAAAAAACAAACCTTATAAATAATTTCCATACTCATCAAGGGTTTTAGGGCGTGATTATATTACATACTTTAAACAATGTATGCCATCCTGCTGCACATTTCCAGCAGCATTCAATCTACACCCACTGCGAAGAGACACATAAAGGCCCTAACTCTCTCGCATGGCTGTCGAGTGACACTGAGCTTGGCTCCGTGCTCCTCAGGGTCATGGTCATTTATGTCTGTGAAATATTGTGCATTATAAATTGCATTATTATTTATTGTTAAAGAGTTCAAGCATTTCACAACACTTTGAGTGCATGGTGGTAAATGTATTTCATACCTATGGCCTAAATATATCACCAATTTATATATTTGCCTTATTATTACTTTAATGTATTTGACCTAAATATTACATGGATTGCATTTTCTCTACACAGTATGTGTGCATCTGCTGCCATCTATTGCCACATTCCTGATCTAGTTCAGAGAGGCACTGACAGTCACCTGTAGTGTTCCAAGCAAGGACCTGTTTATGCAAGAATATCAAACCCTGTAATAACAGGCCTTATCTAGACACAATTTGTTATCTGTGCTCGCTTTAATTCGCCATTATATTATTTTTCAGTAGCAATACATTTACCATAATGACCTCAAGCAGTATTGCTTGAGATCATTTTCAAAGCTGGTTGAAGGTCTCCCAAAACTGTCACCATCTGAAAATGTATTGTGCTATCCGAACAGATTTTATATAAAATTATATATTTACATTATTCTCATTTGAAATTAGATACAGTATATACTGTAATATAGTAAACAAAGTGAATGTTTGCTATTCATTTGCAATTATTATGCAACATAGCATGTTGTGACATACATGCACATTACCATGCATAACAAGCCAGATATATGTATTTTAGTATTTTCTCCACGTCAATTTTCATGATTATTCATAAACATTTGCCTTTTTTCAAGGCTTGGTTTTATTATAACTTGAATGACTGCATCAGTATCCATTAATTATTTGTATCGGCTACATTGTAAACGCTCGGCGCAGTGCTAAGTTAAATTCGTATTTTTTTTGCAGAATATTATTTGCAGTATGGTATATATGGCAGAAAACCTTTCCTGAACCATGCTTGATCGTGTGGTTCGATGGCCTCTAAATTTTGTATTATTCTGTTACCAATGATCTTCATAAACATGATAAATGTCAAATGGGTCCATAACTTTTCAAGTAACTTTTATCTCCCCTCTTTAATTATTATAATGATCGAGGTGTTCCAGAATCGAGGTATTTAATTTCTGAGTAACAATTCAGTGAATAGGAATGCTACTTTATTTCCAACAACTGGTCCCTGCCTCATTGGGGATGTTCAGTCTTTATAATGTAAAAAAAACCCACAAAATGCTCGGAGAATTTAATAAAGAATGCTGGAAAGTTGGGATAAAGATACATTTGAGTAAAAGTCCGATACAAAAAGTTTGGCAAACAACTGGAAATATCTTGATCAAATTATGAAATTACGAGGCAGACATGAACAGGTTTAGAAAGTTGAACTATGTGCCTACAGAAGTATGCTTTAATGAGTGCATATTACCTGCTGTGGCATGTATCAGAAACATAGACATTGACTTAGAAAATGGAATCTTGATTTGAAGTTTTCGTGACTTCAGGAATTCATACTCTTTGGTTCTTTCGGTAAAGTCACGTAGATAGGAAAATAAATAATAGATCACGACGTTTCGATGGCAACACAAGCAATCGTCTTCAGGTGAGAGAGAGAGAAGCACGCCGTTGTGACGAGGCATTATATACATCCGAGAGGGGGGAGGGAGGGGAGGCCGTAACGGGCGAGAGGGTGGGGGTGAAATTCAAAGAGGGCTTAGGTGAGAGAAAAAAGGAAAAGGAAGCTTAGATATCAAACTTAACAAAATGTAGAAATGTAATGCAACTCAGAGAGTAGGCTTACACAACAGTTAACACTTTTGGTTGATCACGTCATTCCAAAGATTTCTAAATTTTGCATCCATCTTCTCGGTTGAAGTTATGTCTGAGTTGTGTGGAAATCCTCCCCGTAGAGGCGGTTCAATCTCGATTCGAAGCTTTCGTGGCTGCAGGAATTAATACGTTACCGAAATAACCAAAGAGTTAGAAAATGAATTAAAGTACAGTGTTGATCATTCATAAAAGTAATTGGCCTTGAGCTGAAAACATTGCTAAACATGCTAATGGCCAGTGGTCAAGACTAATGATGAAGTGGCAGCCAAAGGAGGGAACAAGCGGAGACGGAGCGATGAAACCAGCTCATGTTATATCACAGGACTCGGAGATGGCAACGGCCTGGGAAGGCCTTCATCCAGCAGTGCATTGATCATGGCTGATCATGACTTCAAATCCACACCATTTTGACCATTAACTATTCCTTTCACACTGCTTTCTGTAAATCACGAGCAAACTCTAAAGGTGGCCATTATGCTTTGTTTTCTGCTCATAAAGCAAATACATTTACCACAAAAGTGTGTATGTGAGTGGGCAAACAGCTGCAATAGATAGACTTCGTGTCATGCTAAACTTAGACTCTAGTGGACATGCCTTCTAGAGTGGAAACTGCTTCTACAGTCTACTATCAAGTCGTTTTTTTACTCAACATTATACAAGATATGTAACAGAGGAGGACATACAAAGAACTCTTAAAAATTTTCGCAATCGGCAGTTAATGAGAGTTTCCTCTACCCATCTAACGATCATCTCTTTTTGGGTGTCCTGGAGATCCTTCTCAAAAGCGTTCGTGTATTTTTTTTCCTTCTCATTTTATTTGCTAGCTCTGAGGAATAATTGTACCTACGGTAAAAGACGATTGAGGGTAAGATCAAAGCTTGTTGCAGAAAAATACTGCTGGTGAAGAACCCCACAGCAAATGCTTTCAATCCTGCTTGCCGCTTCTGCAAACATCTGCCTCGTCCGTGCCTTAGCAAAGGGCAGATGAGCATTTGTTAGTACAGTTTTTAACAAAGTTAACCTTCTAATTCACGTTTGAAATGATGCCCTGCTTACATGCTCCTTGGCTTTATTTACCGTAGAATGTTTGGCTACATTTCTTGACCACGTATGTTTATAGATTGTTTATGTGAGGGTGAATGTAATTCAGGAGTTAAACTATATATGCAGGATTGAGAAGGCAACATGTTGACACCATTGGTTTTTTCTGCCTTTAATTATTGCTGTTTTGTATACGTTGCTGTTATGAAATCGTGCATGTAAAGTTAAATTGCATTTCTCAAAAAAAGTATTGCATTTCTGCATACAGTCTTGAAATCCAGTATGCTGGCATGCAGACAAAACATATGCTCAGAATAAGAGCAATGTAAAATAGGCTCGCCAGGTATAAACTTATAGGACGGCTTCGGATACCATGGATCTGATGAGCAAAGTTACAGGATGCAGTGTAGACGCGTATTGCTTTGCCGCTCGGTTTGACTCAGTGTGTTCTTTAACCGTGTCTCCCATACCCGCCGCCCCACGCCCTGACCACACACACTCCTGCTCTGTGTGCGCAGATCTGAGAAACCAGCCGTACCGGCGCGCAGACGCTGTCCGCCGGAGCGTGAGACGGCGCTACGATGAGCAGAGCGGCCGCTGGGCCAACAGCGGCGAGATCGCGCTGTGAACCGAACGCGCCTCTTGCGCCGCTCACGTCCTGCCCTGAACGCCGCCGGCACCACCCCCCCCTCTCTCTCTCTCCCGGTGGCAGGATGCTTTGCTTGAGCACCGCATGTGCTGTAGACACAACAGCTGCCGTACATTATAGTGGTGACTGATATCAATTCCTGGACTCTCGAGATTTGGGTGGGAGACGGCACTAAAACAATATAATGTTGAACCAGATTCTTAATGGCCACAAGCTTTGTTTTTTCTCGAACTTTTTTTTAAAAAACACCGCAGACCTAATCATTGAAAATTACAGTGATGCAGTTTACTGGAGGCCTAAGTGGTTTAATTCATGTTCGTACTCTAATGAGCTTTCTTTAATGACGTTTGATTTACTTTTAAATCACTTCTGTATTTTCTGGTGTATAATTGAATCAGGTAACTTGTACTGTACTTGTCATTGTTACCATAACAGGAACATAAAGTGCCTAATATTAAGTCGTATCCTTTTGGGGAGAAATTTTAAGGAGAACAAAAATGAAATTGTGTCAAGTCTAAACTGGGTTGTGACTGAAAAATTGTGCTATTAAAATGGGCATCATGGCATGCTTCTAAGCATTGGGTATGTGCATACTACGTGAATGAATCTGTCATGTTGTAAGACTGTCTGATGGGAGTGCAGACACGTTACAGTGAAGTTGGAAATTCAAAATGTTCAAAATAACAACTTAAAACTTTGTAAATATACATGATTCTAGGTGCTAGTAAACCAAGGAACGTTAATGCTGAATCCGTTTCCTTTTATCGAGAGGAATTGGTAAAAACAATATTTTTTGAGACACATACGAATTGAGTCTTATATTATCGTGCACTTAAAAGCCCAGAATCACAAAATCAGTTTAAATCAAAGATGTACTCAGCAGCCAAATTAACAGTCAACTGATCTACCAAAACATGGCATGGGATAGGAATGGGAATTCACACGATGGGACCAGGAGGAAATGGGCACTACACCAACTCGCAAACAACGCAACGAGAGACAGTGCAGTCCAGACATTTGCAGCCTATTCACACTTTCAACACACTTTTCATAAAGGGACAGGATGAACTCAAATACATTACCCATAAACTTTCTCGTTTTTAGATATCGACCATAGGTGTTAAAAAAATGCAATATTACATATTTACAAAGTAAATGTAAAAGCCGGTGCACAACGCAGATGTTTGTAACTATGTACGCATTAGCTGGTCTTGACCGATGTTGTCTTAATTGTTACGTAGCTTATACGATGCTATTTATGCAACCACACCTTCTCAGTAATGATCATATATGAGACTTTTTTTGAATGGTCATTTCTTTTGTAACATTGTTAGGATTATTATGTCTAACATTGTTGCGTTGACGTACTGGAATTCTTTTTTAAAACCCCCCCGACAAATGTAAAATGATCTTTAAAATGTGTAGATGAATATTTGGTCAATCCAGTAATTGACAGGGTTAACGTTTACTGGTCATTAATCACTATTGGAGCACAAGATAAGCAAGTAATAGAAATCTTAATGCCTTTTTATATTACCATTTAAAGCTAAGGGCATCTGTGATTAACCTTTCCGAGGCCACATGTTACTGGCTCTGGCATTTAATTACATTTTAAAAGTTATCGCTTATTTCAGTTCCTCTATTTTTAACCGTCAAAACTTTTCCCGGCCCTTTATCCCCAACAGAGCTAAAGGGGTAAAAGTGTGTTTGGAGAGCATGTCCACGCAAAAGTGGGTTCGCTTTGTCAGGATGTGGTTAATAAAGGACCCAACATCATTAAACCATGGGCCTGGGTGGAGCTAAAGGGGGGGGGCGGCCCTAATTTCGCAACTTGACCATTGCTTTGCTTTGGCTCGCCCTGTGCCATGTCTCGAGATTTGGCACCGTGTTGTGAACATTTTCTGTTCGCAGAGCAGCCGTTGCTGTAAATACTGTATTGTCAGTGTTGCGCTACGATAGCTTACACGCTGTAGTTAGGATGCTAAAGTGATAGCCAACAACCTCTCTTAAGTAAAACAAAAACTACGAATATGAACTGTATAATAAGGCTTTGTAAATGCTCTTACTTTTTGCTTTCGTCATTTTTTAAGTGTAGCAACAACAAAAAAGTTAAGACTGTTACATTTTTTTAGTATTCTGTTTGATGTTTAACTTCTAAAAATTATTTAAGTACAGACACTCCCATCAGTAGTGGTCATAGACGTTGGCCTCTGTACCATTTTATTGACAGTAAAAAGCCAGCTATTGAAAATATGGAGAATTTGTAAATCAACGCAGTTGCGGCAAAAATAGGTAAAATTCATGTTTTAAATGTAAAAAATATCTAAACCTTATTTACTTATGAAAAATGCAGTAGGTGAGTGACGAAGGCTAAGTTTGGAAATGTGTATCTCTTTTCCTTTTGTCACTTGTGCAATTAGGTAAGACTGGCATTTTCCTGTACACGGGGAAGTTGTGCGTGTAACTCACAGGAGATTCTAGCGCTAACAGTGAGTGATAGAAAAAAAAACGGACGTGCCACTTTGCGTACCATTCCGAACGACTGCTTGTCCTTGCACTTTTGCAACACCTATCTTTCTCTCTAGTTGGAGCTTTTAGTGAAACGGCAAAAATGCAGAGACATCTGCATGTGTATTTTATGACTATTATTTTCAAGGTTGCTCCTGAGTTACGGTGCCCAGGCCATTGCAGCGCGTCGTTCTTGCGGAACTAACTCAAAAGTCATAAAAATTGCTGTAGTTTTTGACCACTGTTTGGAAAGTTATGTGTGATGCAGTAACTCAAACTTGTGACGAGCTGGCCTGGGTTCTCTTTGCGTTTCTGCTGTCGCCATGAAATAAACAGCTCTTTTGTGCCCTATTTCATGCGATGTCTTGTTTGATATAACTTTCTTTAGTTGTGCATTGCATTTGAGTATCATCATGGGACCTCCTTTGCCAGTACCAAAATATGATAATAAGTTTTCCCCTTTTTTCTGGCAGCAAAACAGGTGTTAGGATGTTAAAACACCAAACTGAAATCTTTTACAAGGAATCATGTCTGCATTAACCACAATACTTGTGGTCAGAATGCAAACAAAAAACAATTACAGTAGCTACTGTAATTATGGATAAAGATTCATACAACAACAAAATCCAGAATCTGCTCAACGATGGAAGTTACTCAAAAATGAAAAATGACCCAATAGCCTAGCGATAAAAACCAACAACATCATCACAAGTTCGACCTCCCTAATCGACCCAACTAAACGTCCCTCCCTAAAACCTTCTGCTGCAAGACCCCCTAGATTCTATGGTCTTCCAAGATTCATAAAGAAGGCACCACACTACGACCCATCGTGTCCACGATCAACTCCCCTACCTATAGACTAGCCTGTTTTCTGTCATACCTTGCTGCCTTTCACTGGCAAGACCGCCTCAGCAGTACTTAACTCAGCCCAATTGGTCTCGATGGTCAAAGACGTTGTACTGTCCCCTGACGATATCCTTGTCAGCTTCGATGTGGTCTCTTTGTTCACCAAGGTCCCAGTACCTGATACCATTGAAATAATTGAAAATTTAGTGCAACATGGACTAGACCCCGATACACCTGCATTGGTTAGGCACTGCCTCAACAATACCTACTTTACTTGGAATGGCTACTTCTACAAACAAAATGAGGGTACCCCCATGGGATCCCCCTTGTCACCAGTGATAGCCAATATTTTCATGGAGAAATTTGAATCAGACGCCATCCAGACTTCCACCCTCAGACCTTCCCTGTGGAAGAGATATGTAGACGACACTTTCGTCATTTGGCCACATGGCCTCCCGGCTTTGAACCTTTTCCTAGACCACATTAATTCCAGACACTCCGCCATCAAATTCACCATGGAAGTGGAGAAAGATGGAAAGCTGCCATTCTTGGATGTTCTGTTTGAGAGGAGACCTGATGGCTCATTGGGACATTCTGTCTACAGGAAACCCACCCACACAGATTCCTACTTGAAACCTGATTCCCACCACCACCCAACGCAAAATAATTATCTCATCAAAACGTTATACCACAGGGCTCATTGCATTTCGGACCAACACCACCTGACCAATGAATTAAAACATGTACATCTGGCCCTAAAAAGGAATGGATACTCTGACCGTAACATCTGCCAAGCTGTTTCTCCCTCCATACAGAAACAACCACTTGATACTCCGATCAAAACCATCACACTACCATATATAGCAGGCGTTACTAAAAAGATTTCCAAAATTCGAAACAAACACAAGATCCTGGTCCGGTTCAATACAGTACACAAAATCCGTGACCTGATCCCTTCCGTGAAGGATGTCATTCCTGACTTACAGTACCCCGGAGTTTACAAATTGATCTGCCCCTGTGGTGACTGCTATATCGGGGAGACGAAACGACATGTCTCTGACCGAATTCGCGAGCACAAATCAGATTTGAAACACGGCAGAACGAATTATTCTGCCGTAGCTGATCACTGTTACAACACTGGGTGATCACGATATAATTTTCTCTGATACCAAGGTTCTTTGCAAACCCACGGGTTGTTTTTTATCAGAGATTTGTTCACGAGGCAATTCAGATTTACAAACACAGACAATTTCAACCGAGAGGATGGTTTCAAATTAAGCAACCATTGGAAAGATGTTCTTAATCAAACCAAACATTAAACTAATTTTCAATGGTACAGTATATTTTTTCAAGTAGTGGTATCCCAAACTTTCGCAGCAGCTTAAATTCCCTTTTCACACCATCAATATGTAAACTCCCCCTCCCCCCCTCGCCGGTCTGCACATGCTCCCCCCCTCTACATCGTTCATCATGCTGAGTCCGCCAATTAAATGCTAATTTTTATGCTAATTCCTTTGTCAAGGCGCTCTGCTTCCTCTCACAGCTTAAAGGTCGCGGTCTGAGCTTGGCTGTGTTCACTCCAGCGCTGACCTCTAGACAGTCTGGTCCCTTCACCTGATGAAGGCCACTTGTGTTGTGGCCGAAACGTCGTGAATTTTTATTTTTTGTTGTTTTTTTACGTGACTTTACCGAATAGAACCAAAGAGTATGGTATGAGTGTATTGTGGGTCAAATGTGTTTCTTTTCGAACATCTTTACGACTACACTCTGGGTAGACGTGAAGAAAATTGCTGCTTTAGTAATCTCGCCAGCACTCACATTTACTGCCCACTGCTTTCCAAAAGAAACTCGAGCATGAATCGACCCAATAACCCAATCCCCATGCACCTTAAAAACACAAAAGCCTCCCAGCAGATGACGCAAGGGCCATGTTTGTGCGAAATTGGTTATACTGTAGTGCGAACAATAACCCAGTGCCTCCAGCAAACCTTTTCTGAACATCATCTGTCAACAAATCTCCAAGAAACAGACAACACGGCTTGCATCGTGAAGTGATGATTGCCATGGCTCATCAGCAAAAGCAAGAACACGACATTGTGCATTCTCCGCCATTTTACCAATATTAGTGCTTCCTAACACGAGCGATTTTTGTTCATGGATAACTGGAGTCTCCGAATGACAATTTCGCAATGTTAGGTCGCCGCATCTCATCGCGGATAAGAGGAGTAAAATCTCGGATAATAGGATAAGTAATATTGGGTGCCCCCCCAATCTCACCGCGGATTAGAGGAGCAAAATCGTGGTGGGAGTGGTGGTGGGGCAGGTGGGGGGTAGTGGTGACGTAGTAGTGGTAGTGAGGTGACGTGGTAGTGGGGGTGGGGTGACGTGTAGTGGGGGTGGGGTGACGTGGGGGTGGGGGGTGACGTGGGGGTGGGGGGGTGACGTAGTAGTGGGGGGGGTGACGTGGGGGTGGGTGACGTGGTAGTGGGGTGACGTGGTAATAGGGGGGGTGACGTGTAGTGGGGGTGGGGTGACGTGGTAGTGGGGGTGGGGTGACGTGATAGTGGTAGTGGAGGGGGTGACGTGGGGTGGGGTGGTAACGTGGTAGTGGAGGGGGTGACGTGGTAGTGGGGGTGGGGTGACGTGGTAGTGGGGGGTGACGTGGTAGTGGTAGTGGGGGTGTGACGTGGTAGTGGTAGTGGGGGTGGGGTGACGTGGTAGTGGGGGTGGGGGGTGACGTGGTAGTGGTAGTGGGGGGTGTGACGTGCTAGTGGTAGTGGGGGGGGTAGTGGTAGTGGGGGTGGGGTGACGTGGTAGTGGGGGTGGGGGGTGACGTGGTAGTGGGGGTGGGGTGACGTGGTAGTGGGGGGTGACGTGGTAGTGGTGGTGGGGTGACGTGTAGTGGGGGTTGGGGTGACGTGGTAGTGGGGGTGGGGGGTGACGTGGTAGTGGGGGTGGGGGGTGACGTGGTAGTGGTGGGGGGGGGTGGTAGTGGTAGTGGGGGGGGGGGTGACGTGGTAGTGGTAGTGGGGGTGGGGTGACGTGGTAGTGGGGGTGGGGGGTGACGTGACGTGATAGTGGGGGTGGGGTGACGTGGTAGTGGGGGTGGGGGGTGACGTGACGTGTATAGTGGGGGTGACGTGACGTGCAAGTGGGGGTGGGGGGTGACGTGACGTGGTAGTGGTGGTGGGGGGTGACGTGCTAGTGGGGGTGACGTGACGTGGTAGTGGGGGTGTGGGGTGACGTGGTAGTGGGGGGTGACGTGACGTGCTAGTGGGGGGTGACGTGACGTGGTAGTGGTGGTGGGGTGACGTGATAGTGGGGGTGACGTGACGTGTAGTGGGGGTGGTGAGGCGAGTGGCCCACATCGCTGGCCCCGTGCCGGCCCAGTGGAGCTAATAGAAAGAGGCTGCGCCTGCTCCGCCTGCGGCCTTGCGTGCTGGGGAGGTTTCTCCTCGCTCGCTCGCTCGCGATAACCCCGCGAGTAATCGTTAACAGGTGTGCTCGATGGCTCGTCGTTCCAGGCGTGTGTTGTGTTGGATTGGAGTCAATCGTGTCGAGGGTTTTGGCGAGATAATTCACAAGGCCTCGCGAAGCTTGTGTGGTACACACGGTGCTTGTTTGACCATACTTCACCACGCTGGTCAGTTCACTGGGGGTTGGAGGTCAATGAAGTGGGGGTCAAGGGGGGGTGGGGGGTTACCACTGATGTTAGCCGGGGTCCGGGAATCGAAATTTGGTTAACCGAGTTCGTCCGAAAGCGCAGCGCGGGAAATAAAATAAAAACAACACTTGCAGTTTCCTTTCGGAATAAGTGTGCGAGTATGTACGCGTATACAATGCCGTGCGGTAGGTCGACTCGGCCTCAAACGAGTACCTGGTGCGGTGTGTAGTGAACATCGCCACCGGGGAGACAAAGGCGGCCGGGCGTGGTGGTGGTGCTGGCCACCCACCCCCTCGTGTGCCACAGCGCCGGCCTTAATAGGCGCTCGCTAACAGCCGCTTGCCCCTAGAGTCTGTCACAGGCTACACGGGGGGGACCTTTGCCTACATACACCTAGTGTAAACTCCGTGTGGTGGGCGGGCATCATCCAGCAGTGGAATAGTTATCGACTCGTCAATGTCACAGTACAAGCCGAATGCTTGGATAGCGCTTGGATGGGCTTACCACCATGCAATTCGATGTTGTACGGTACTTCTATCGCCCCCACCCCACCGCTTGCATCAATGCCCCAGACTTCAACCAGTAATGACCGGTGTGGTGAAGTATGCGCGTTGAACTTCTTTCGCACGGGGTGCGCAACCGAAACGTGCTTATCGGGAGTGCGGTCAAATAGCTACCGAAGAGACGCACAAGACGTGGGGAGGCCCTCATCCAGCAGTGGATCGACAAGAGGGCTGTACGTTTGTATTGAGGGTGTCAATTGGCACACGCGTCTCACTTGATGGGTTCACGGTGGGTCCCCGACGTGGGGCCTCTGGGAGTCGCGAGGATCACCACCGGGTGCCAAAATCTATTCTCAAATTGCGACCGCCTGTTAACAATCCGCAGAGGGGGGAGGGGGGGGGGGTTCTAATTGTTACACAATTAACACCGCACTGTAATGAGTTGCTGCACGTGGTGCTGCTTATTTGTAATTTTGATAGCTTTTGTGAGCAGTGGTTGCGTAACCGCTATAATGTACGAGGTGTTGGTGCGGATCAAAAGGGGCCCCATTTCCAAAAATAACGCGTGAAAGAAATGGAATCGTGCGTGAGAGTTAATTGGCCCACATCTTCTCAAGCAGACCCACCCCCTCTGCCTGTTGTGATCCATCAACGTGATCAGCCCTTTGCCCATCTCTATGCTGGCCAACAGCCTCCAAGCCCCATCGCCTTCCCTCGTGGTCTCGTCGTTATGCCAACAGTCTCGGGATCAACGATTTGGGGGAAATATCGAATTGAGATTTTTCTGACATTGAGATTTTATTTGCGATTGGATTCTTTTTTAAGTCAAGCTTCAGTTCAATATTCGCTGTGTAATAGATTTAAAACACGTGATGGAGCATTACCACATGATACTATAAAAATATGAACTGCTCTATAATAATGCGAGGATGAGAACTTAAGAGACATTAATTGCTTCCAACATGTATTTATTGAAATTATTTAATTGAAAGAGAACAAGCAAACATAGAAGAATTGTTAAGTTCAATACAGTTATAAAAAAACAATTCCAATAAATAATAGGACTTTATAAATCGCAAAAAATCGCAGCCTTTGCGATTTGCTAATCGCATTGTTTCAATTTTAAATCGATTAATCGTTCAGGCCTACCACAGCCCACCTCGCTCAAGCAACATCAGTTGTTCCATCGCTCCCATGTCACTGTGGTCATCTTTTTGGGTATCTTTGTTAGCTGCCATTCCACGACGAGGCCACGATCCCTTCTTGAGATGTATCCTTCTCAAGCCCACTTAACTCCATTTAATGTCTCTAACTTACTGTTTGTGCTCCGATCTGTGTGTTCGTGTAATTTCACCTTTTTTGTGCATTTCTTGATTTTTTTCACTTGCATATGATCCCATGAACACATTAAGAGTTGTAAAATGTTTATGCAATTTTTTATTAATTATTAGACATTAAAGTACATAGCCAGGTGAGTAAATACTGAAACACTTAATGTTCACTGGCAATGAAATACCTTAATTACAGCCATTTGTTACTAAAGTGCAAAATGTATCGTCTTATTTCTCAGTTACCCCTACTTCTTATCGTCACTTTCTTTTCGTAAAGTTTTATTAGATTTAAATATCAAATTTTAAGTGCAATTAACCTTTTTTACTTAGCCTTATTTACTTCATACTGTATTAATGTATCGTTAAATCTAGTCTACATTTATTAGATGTAAAAGCTAAAACATATTGTGGTCTTAAATGGATCTTGATGTATCTCAGGTCACCAATTATCAATCTCCTTGATCATTGAGTGTTTAATTATTCACAGCTAAGTTGTAAATGTAGAATAATGTTTCTTTGAACCTGCAGCTGTCCATGGCTCATGTAAAACAATACGCTTTTACAGTACCCAGCAAAGGCTCACTGAGTCTCAGGACTATTTTCGTGAGGTTCCTACCAAGCCTTCACAGAAGGGGGAAATGTTTCCATTTATATTCCCAAATAAGTCATTTTCAGCCCCTCCCCCCCCCCCCCCCATTTCCTCACATAATCGAGAATGGACTGTTCGTGCATTGTGCAGTTTTTCATTGGGATGGAGAATCCAGGAGGCATCGATGCAGGAAAGGTCGCTCGTAGGCTGGAGAGAGAGATGCTGGAGGTGTCTGACAAGTCCTCTGGGCCAGGCGAGGAGCAACCGGAGATTTCTCCGGAGCAACACCCTTCGTACGGCGCTCCTCGCTACAGCGCTATTTTCTCCTGCCTTGTGACCATCTCTCTCATCGCCCTCATGATCAGGGCATCGCTCGTTTCTGCCAGTGCAGGTAGATGCTGATGTGAGCTTTAATATCGCGAGTAAATTTGACGTTTATAAGCGATCGTAATGATTTATTCTAGGCACTTACCGATATATGCCCCTGATCTGTGTTCTTGTCACAGAATGCATCATTGTTCACTTTTTAGTTTTTGTTCCATTTTATTTGTCAGTATCCATGTTTCTGATCCATCTGTCAAAGATAGCATTACATGCTGTTTGAATGCTTTCTTCAGACGGACTGCTATGCTGCTTTTCATTTTCATGTTCAACTTTCCAAAGGCACTCCATACCGCTCGTATTATCTTTATTTCATCATTTTGATTCCCAAAGCATCTTCAGTGCCTTAGGTACACATAATCTGTATAATTAGTTTTCAGGTGGCATTTGTTTGTAAATGTGAATTGCATTGCTTCCAAGTATTAAGTTATATCCATTTATAGATGCTGATCCGGGAGACACAGACAACATGGGCTCTTCAGTAATTCTAAGCATCTTGGGTAAGTTTTTGATTTGGTTGCACTGTGTCAATTATATTTTCACCACCTGCTTCTGCAATACAGCATAGAATAGTATTCTTGTGAATGTACAGCTAATAATTAAGCATTTTACCTTGGAATATTTAATTGATGGAATCATATGTATGTCATTTGTATGGGTGTGTTGGCAAAGATAAATGGGTCCCCTCGAGTTTTACTGCAGTTGTATGAGCATTAATTATTTCTTATCACAGCTGTCTACCCAGTAAAGCTTCATTGGAGTCTCAGCACTCTTTCAGGAGGGTCCTGCCAAGTATTTTTTCAGTAGGGAGCTATGTTGCATTTTGTCATTCCAATCGAGTAGTTTGCAGGTGAGTTTTCAGCAATATCAGTTATATTGTGTTTTTAAAGACCTACTTAAGCAGGTGTTTTTCAGTGTAATAAAGCTGAGAAGTGTCATGAGGTCTCAGATGCCCTTTGGCCTGAACCTATATTTGATGACACTTTGTTTTACAGGTCTATGTTGTCCTTTCCTCCTGCCACTGGTGACTGGATTGTCCTGCTGCTGTTTCTCCTGGTCTCTGGCTTACTTTGACTCATTTGAGCCAGGAATGTTCCCTCCAACGCCACTATCCCCAGCTCGGTTGCGGTAAGGACGCTGCTGCAGTGTGTTGGATTTAGTTGTTATTGATTTATCATGTATTGGTGAGTAAAATTGTTGATTAAAACCAATAATTATGCACGTGGTAGAAGCATCAAATGTAATTTATAATAATTAATTATTCATGATTTATGCTGACGAAATGCATTTGAGACACTAACGTTACATTTAAAAACCTCAACACACTTGTCAACAACACTGCCTTAAGATAAAAACATTCGGTTACGTTTTGGGCAATGGCCTTTCTTAATTGCACGTAAAATGTTTCGTAATGGCAAATTGAGTGGACAAAGCTGTACACAATGAGATGGAAAAATGAGAAGTAACAAAACGTACAGTAAAGCCAAAGAAAACTATTGAATCTTAGACTTATCTGAATAGCTCGGGGTGAGGAGGAATTAGGGGTGAATGCATTTCATGACTGTGATTATACCCCTCGTGACAGAGCCTCACCAGTGGGCCTTCATTTAATAATCTGGACGATGTAGCTTCTGCTTGATCTTAAAATTCAAGATGTTCTTTCAGATTATTATGCTTAAAGTGCAATTATTGTTTTACGTTAAACAACAATGTGTTGTACAGTGTATTTGACTAAGCTCTTTATCAAGTGCGTTTTGTTATGTTTGGGATATTGGGGTACGTTTTGTAGGTAGATCATTAGAAACGGCTGTAGAACAATGTTGAGTGTTCTTGAAGGCCCCTGCGATTTCTCGCACGTTCCACGTTGCGTGCTATGTGCGGATCTCGTTGAGAACAAATCGCGATGTGCCTCGCGCCACCGTGGAGCATGCTGCATTTCATTAAGCATTATCACTTCACTTTTTCGCCTCTGACGTTTGCAAGTGTGAATTGTGTTTCACACTTTATGTTTAACTTTAAGTGTTGTGCCTTTTAATTATTTTTTGCTTTTGGAACCCAAGTCTCTGTGAAAACACAGGCTAGTAGTCTCGCTGTGCTCTCACCTAATTGAAATGATGGAAATTAACAATTTGTCTTATAAATGCTCTCTTTACACGAAACACTCATGATTCTGTTAACGGCCATCCGTTTTAACTGCATGTCTTGAAATTACTTGAAAATAATCTTCTAGGGCACCTTTTCACTTGAGTAATGATGTAGCACCACTTCCTTTGTAAAGTATACTCCTGGTCTTTGGTTCCAATCAGTTAAATAGGCAAAACAGTGATAAGGAAAGTGCTCAGAACATCTTTGGAGTTTCCAGCTGATAGATATTTTCAAAGGTTACAGAATATAAATCTTAACATCAAGTGCATTGGAAAGAGCATTCATGAACCTGCACTGAACCCCACGGAAGGTATGTTATCGAGGCTATCGACATATTACAGTGCTTATTGTGATGGCTGGTCTTACTTTGGGCCTTTGTGGATTGCAGGCACCAATTTTTATCTTCTTAAACGTCCATGAAAGGACTTAAACTATTTCGTGATGTTGCATTCTCATTGGTGCACAAATAACAAATACTCGACACATTTGTTAACAACGCCGTTTTAAAAGATAAATATATGATCGGTAACATTTCACGCAAATTGCCCATCTTCATGTGCGATGAATGAGCGCCATTAGGTCTAAAACTTTGCGTATTATTTACTTTTTCTCGGAAAGACTTTGTGTGCATCAACTGTAAATTAAAGTGTAAAGAGGCACAACATTCTAAGTGTTTCATGTTTGTATTGTTAGTGGCCTATTGATGATGAATCTGTATTTAACGTGAATGTGCTACTTGATTAACGTGTATTGTATATTGTAATGGTCTTTAAATTAAATTATTGACTGCAATGGCAGTGTGGGAAATATGTTAATCAAAAGAGTAAATAAACAGAATTGGTGTTATCAATAATAATGATGTTGACTGGGGGTGTGTCATAACCCAGCTACTTAAGGTAGATTACCTTCCAGACCGAACATCAGTGGCGAGTGATTTTTTTAAACCAGTCCCTGGACCCCCACTTCACAAAACTGCATTGACCAGCGCTGTGAAGCTTGGTCAAACAACCCCCACGACTGACACGGTCTGGTGAGGCCTGCCCATCAGTTGATTAACAAAGCACTGTAAATTATTATTTGTTAATACTGTAATAATATGTAAAACAACACTGATACTGGTTTGAGTTCATAAAAATATGAATTATCTTATCCATTAACCATTGTAAGTGCAGTGATGCCTACACGATTACTTTTCATTTAAAGAATGAGGCTACTTTGTGAACTGGCGGTAGCAACAATTTGACTTGGTTATAATGACCAGCTAGATCATGGAGAGCCACGTGGACTTAATTTTGAGAACCTGTGGCACAAAGACAGTCGGATTCTCATGTGTCTAGAGGGTTAAAAAAATGTTAAATTATTAATAACTGTTAAATGGAATATGGAAGCAATTACTCAACCACCCCATTGAGTCGGATTTCAGCAAACAGGTGCAACCTCTGCCTTGCTGATTATAGAGACCAGGCATTTTATATGAACGGGTGAAGCCACTTGAGAGGAAAATAGGGTTTAAATGGAACGGGTTGCAGCACGGTGATTTTCTCAAAGACACACCTGAATGTCAATGCAGCTTGATTAAAATTACACCCCTGTCCAATAATATAAATAATGTGATTGGTATATAAAACTATGATCTTATTTAGAATGTTATCTACTTCAAACGTGCACATGAGAAAGTACGTGTTTTTTTTTACTTTTGACTCTTACGATAATAATGTCAGCATCTATAGTAATTTTCGGCAAAAAAATCTTGGCTTTGATACCACTTCAACATTGGCATTGAACTCTCAGGAAAAAGTATATGGTATGGATATTAAATATTAATGTTATTATATAGAGCCCTGCATAATGATCGTGATAATAAAACTGCTTTGTAACATAATTAGGCCATTTTGTCTGGGAGCCCATAACCACTTTTTGCTTTATGAACAGGCTGCCAGAGATGAGGATTTGGTGTGAAAGGAAAATTAACCACTCGCAACAAATCATCCGTGACTGACTTTCCCTAAAACGTGCACCGAGCTGCTTGTGTAGCCAGGATACAAATGAGTACCACACAGCGGAACAAACCACACGGAGATTAGCTCAAGTTAAGCTCACATAGGTCAAGGATTTTATCGACCCCTAGTTTGACAGAAGAGCACCTCTCACAAAGGTGGTTTCTGTTCTAATATAGACACGGGAGGCGCCACTGTTTTGCAAGTGGAGCAGATAATTGGCATTGCAGCAGGCGGGTAAGGCACCGAGGGGGAAAGGGGTGGGGAGCAAGGCTTAGGTGTTATTAATTTGGAAAATAATTACGCGTATATAAAAATCGTGAAGGTGCTGTCGCTGAAAGGGTAAGAAGCGACGAGGCGGCCCAATTCAACACCAAGCCCTGCTTAGAATTTCCACCCCCTTAGCCAGCGCGTCTATCCACTGAGCCATGTCATTTTCATCCTATAATAATCTTTAGTTCATTACATGTTGAATGTCATATACAGTGTAGAATGCTGACGTGATGAAATGGTTGATCTCTCCCAGCTTGGCAATTGAAACAATGATTTCTTATACATCCCTCTGCTTGCCTGCCTCTGTTCACCCAGCACTATAAGTGGGTACACCACGGTTAGTGTATCGGCAGGTCGCAGATAGTGGGGTAAATTGTGGGTACTCGCACCCCTTCCAAGATGTCTGGCCCAGCGTGGAAGAGTAGGCCAAATTTACTCGAGGCATTCTCTGGGGATCCCTCTCACCGAGACAATGGCTGTAGCCAGCAATTGCAGGGCTGACCTTGTACCTTTTATGCAGTGTAGATTGTATTTATCAGTATGAAGTATTAGCTAATGGTTAAAACTTTTGCTGTTATTTTCATATACGGTATCAAGTTTAGTTTTTAGGAGCTAAAGTCTATTTGTTCATCCCCTGAGTTTATCTAGTTGCAGGTGATAGCCCCTGGATGGTGCCACCTACAATTCAGTCAAACTCTATTACTGTGCGGTAATGCACGGGATGCCCGCGGTGGTTAATTCACAAACCGCGGCAGAAATAAATACGTAAACATCGTGCCAGCCCGGTGTGTCACACATTTTAGGAGTGTTTATCCCCGCGACTTCGTTCATCCGCTAGAAAAACGGATTTCAGGATTCACCCCCCCCTCCCCCCATAGATTACAACAGTATCTGCAAACTGCGGTGTCACTGTCAATTTTATAATTTGCAGATTATTTGAGCGCAGATTATCCACGTTCTATATATTGTACTGTAGGCACACTAACGATTTTATTTGACATATCCTTGACTCCCCCAATCTCCCTACCTAATCTCTCCAATCAACATAGTGCTAATCTGCCATTAACACTGCTGTTATGCGCATATGCGGGCACGATCATCTTATGCGGCGACGGAAGCTAATTTCATGCGAATCTTTCTCCCCAATCTCCCCCATTAACACAACAGACGTGCTTGCGTCCGGGGATGGAATTCCTTTCCAGCTCAGACCTCGCTTGCTTGCCCATCGCCACATAAATAACCTCTTGTTGTAACAGCTCTCTCGCTGGTTCAGCAGTTCCACTGCTGGATTATTTTTATTTTTTTTCTGCCTCAGGACGACCGCTTGTGTTGCGATCGAAACGTCGTGATATATTATTTTTTGTTTGATTTTTTCTACCTACGTGACTTTACCGAAAGAACAAAAGAATATGGATCCTTGACTTTGTAAATGTTGTGGATTCACTCTTCAACACACCGGTGGGCTAAAGTGGTGAACTATTTGTCTTTTGTCAACGTGACACTTTTTTACTGATTGGCCGTGTCAGGTGGTGGAGGGTTACGGCACATTTATAAATAAGGCGATCTACCCCTAAAAACGTTTATTATGAATTACTGCTAACAGTTTAAAAGTAATTTGACCGAGTCAACTTACATTACAGGACATTTATTTTCCTTTAATACTGATTTATGTTTGTGCAGTATTTTAAATTTCTCCTTTAATGCGATTGTCTTTTCTCTGATATTATATTTGCTCTATTGGTGTATGTTATTTTATTGTTTTTGCCATCTTAGTGACCCAGGTCACTCTAACAAATGAGACCATCTGCATTGCTTGAGTTCTCATCAGGTTAAACAAAATAAACTCCACTCTTGCTGATGCTTGATTTGCCCTTGTGTGTACACAATGAGTTGTTATTTTATGAGATAGGAAACGGAATAAAATGTGGCCTGTTTTATTAAAGCTACCAGTGAATGAATGGAATGACACTTGGGGGGTACCTCAGTGTTTAGTTTTGATGTAGTTTCCTTATTCACCAAGGTTCCTGTACCTGACACCATCGCAATCATTGAAGACTTGGTTCATCAAGGACTAAACACTGAGGTACCCCCCCTGGTGAGACACTGTTTAACCAATACATACTTCACTTGGAATGGAACTTTCTACAAACAAACTGAGGGCACCCCAATGGGCTCCCCCCTATCTCCGGTTATAGCTAACATTTTCATGGAGAAATTTGAGACAGACGCCATCCAGACTGCCACTCTGTGCCCAACCTTATGGAAGAGGTACGTGGATGACACTTTTGTCATCTGGCCACATGGCCGGCCTGCTCTAGACCAATTCTTCGACCACATCAATTCCATACACCCAGCCATCAGATTTACCATGGAAGTCGAAAAAGATGGCAAGCTACCTTTTTTGGATGTACTAATTAAAAAGAGACCTGATGGTTCAATGAGCCACTCTGTCTACAGGAAAGCTACCCATGCGGATGCTTATCTGAAACCAGATTCCCACCACCATCCATCACAGAAGAATTCTCTCATCAAGACTCTGTATCATAGAGCCCAATGCATATCCGACCAGGAACACATAGGCAGTGAACTCAAGCACGTACACCAAGCTCTTAAGGCTAATGGTTACTCCGACTATACAATCCGCAAAGCTATCACTCAAACCATGAAGAAGGACCCTCTTGAGGAGCCTTTCAAAACCATCACTTTACCCTACATTGCGGGGATCACAAAAAGATCTCCAAAATCTTGAATAAACACAAGATCCAGGTCCGTTTCAACACATTACATAAAATCCGTGATCTGGTTCCGTCTGTAAAAGATGTGATTCCGGACATACAGTACCCTGGTGTCTACAAACTAAGTTGCCTCTGTGGTAGTAGTTACATTGGAGAAACCAAACGCCATGTCTCGGACCGCATTCGTGAACACAAAGCAGACCTTAAACACGGTAGGACCAACACCTCGGCCGTGGCAGATCATTGTTATAATTCAGTAGGCTCACATGACATTGACTTTTCCAAGACAGGTTCTTTGTAAGCCATCTGGCTACCATGAGAGATTCGTTCATGAGGCTATCCACATATACAAGCACAGAGACAATTTCAACCGAGAAGATAGATTCTGGCTTAGCAATCATTGGAAGAGATTTGATAAACCATTTCAGGTCTTAATTGATTGTTCACACTTACAGTGTCTTTCAGAAAGCTTACATTAATTTTTCGTCTCCCCCCTCCTCTTTTCAGAACATAGATGGACTCGTCCTTCTAAACAAACTGCCAAATCGCTGCGCGTGACGCTGACGGTTTTTATAAATAAATAAATACACCGTTTAAAAATAAATAAATTTGTGCAAACCGACACACCTGATGACGACCGTTTGTGTAATGGTCGAAACGTCGTGAGAATTTTTTATTGTTTTATATATATTTTATTATTTTATTGTTTCCCTTCAACGTGACTTTACCGAAAGAGCTAAGAATATGAATATACACTAAATTGCTCTTTAAGTTAGTCTTGTAGTTTAGCATTGGTGTGTATTTATTTGCATGGGCATCTCAGAATGGTGTTTTTCTGTGGATATTATTTATTCTCTTCCTGCCTATTTTGATTACAGTCATCTACTTTAAAGTGTATTACTTCCAGTGCGCCTGGAACATTCAATCTTTTTTTTAATCTTAGCTTTACTTTTGAAATCACAAATAAACACATTCCTGCGGAGGGAGCTGGTAGGAACGTTGGGTTGCTCGGTCAATGGCCAGGGTCAACGGCGGCGTGGTGTATTCCGCAAATATGCCCAACTGTGAGGGTGGGCACAAGCGGGCGTGAGTAGGTTAAACGTTGAGTTTTATAAGGGCACCACGGGGTGACCAGCCACTCCCCACCCAGCCCCACCCCTCCCACCCCCCACCCAGCCCCACCCTCCCCACCCAGCCCCTCCGCACCCTCCCCACCCAGCCCCTCCCCACCCAGCTTCTCCCCACCCTCCCCTCCCCACCCAGCCCCTCCCTCCCCTCCCAGCCCCTCCCCACCCTCCCCTCTCTACCCAGCCCCACCCCTCCCATTTTTTGATGCACGACGGACGGACGGACACAATAATCCCCTGTGGGCTGGTGTAACCAGGAGATTCCTACCAGTATAAGCAAGATGTATTGGACATAACCCTCCTGGTAGAAACCATAACATTGCATAGCAATTTATATCATAGCCATGCTTATAGGATAACCATTTTAATTAAATTTAGATTAATGAGCTTGCCATTGGCTACAATATATATAGTTTCAGGAAGTCATTATTTTGTGACAATGTTTGATTGTTTCTTTTAATTAACACATTCTAACTCCCTTTAAATTGCGTGTTCGCCTGTAGATGCAATTAAAATTAGATAGTGGACAGCCACATTTATTTCCGTAAATTAATAATTTAAGGGATCTCGGTGACTAGGACAGTGGGCTTGCTCTCTGGGTACAAACGCTTTATTACATTGAGCTGTCTACAAGCATGTGTCGCTTTGTAAGATGCAATTATATTACCTTCTAAGACACGTGTACTGTGTCATGGATTAATTTCCAAAACAAAACCAAATTGACAAATTATCAGCTTATCTCTTCCAGGATTTTTCCATGACAAGATGCGTGCCTGTTGTTGTAGAGGTTGTTATATCTGGACTAAACTGTTGTAACGATAACGATCAAGAAATATATTTACCATTCTAGCAATGTGTCGTGTAAGAATTCTAAAGGGGAGGTCTTGTAACCCATGTTAAACCAAGGTTGGGTCTTGTCTAATAACTAGCTTTTTTGCCCGTCCAAGGACAGGTGTATATTGCAGTAAATTTTGAAATATTCAATAGAAAAATTGTTCAGCTCATGATTATTAATGGGGGGGGGGGGGGTTGCCCCATGTGGAGTGACGTCACCCGATAATGGTTATTGGGGAAGGTTGCGGAATGTGGAGTGACGTCACCCCCTCATGGCTATTGTGGAGTGGTGCGGCAGGTGGAGTGACGTCACCCACTCATGATTATTAATGAGGGGTAGGGTGCAGCATGTGAAGTGCACAACCTTCTTGTACGTTCGTGTAAATTTCCACGCGGGCATGAATATTAATGAAGGGGGGGGGGCCTTTTTTGCAGTGACGTCACACGGATGTAGCACTGTGCTGCATAGATTTATTTTTCACCATCACTTTCTGTAAAGAAACGTCATATTTGAAGCGACTTTGCGTAATAAATTATTTAATTCGACTCGACCTGCGTTCGTGTAAAAATCCACCCACTCATGAATATTAATGAGGGGGGGGGGGGTGGGCCTCATGTGGAGTGACGTCACACACCGGACGGACAGACATTTCTGGGTGATTATAGTAGGTAATTGCTGCCATAGACAACAAAGGATGCAATGGGAGTTTGCTATCGCGATCTCATTTAAACATCCCTTGCTTTTGAAAATACATTGCCATAGCAATGTGCGGAAACAATTAAATTATAGGGAAGCACTTTAATAACATTTCATTTGGCTTGGTGCAAAATTGGAGGGTTAATGAACAACAACTCTACCCATATAATTAATTTAATGAAATGCTTTATTAAAACTGATGGCAGTTTTGTCACCAATTTAGTTTTTGCAACCCAAAGGCAGAGAATTGCTTTTTTTTTCTTCCTGCATGTTTCAGTTGTGGCTCATGATATGCCCCAGCAACATTGAAAGCAATTACATTCTGGCCACTTAGTCACTGATCGGTGGCAGGTGGTAGTTAGTGAGAATGTGTGTGTATTTTCTGCTGTGTTACGAACATGATGTGCGTCAGTGCTCATCAGGATCACCTGGGTTACAGAAATAGGGTTCTTGATGCCTACTTGGTCTCACCCATGAATACTGGGCATGATAATTCTTTTTTTAAGCTAAATTAATTTTTGTTAAAATAAAATACACCTCATCAGCTAGGCGTGTGATGTTTTATTTCCACAACTCCGTAAATTGTTCAGGGTTGTGATTAAGCTCGATGTTAAATGTTTTCTTTTGCCCTGTTGTGCACGTATAATTTCTCGCTGCTGCACGATTTTCGACAACCAGTCATATACAACACATGAATCATAAATCATATATTCTGACACACATCATTTAATGCATGCAACACGAGTGCAAATAACGATTTTAATTGATAAATGAATATATATGTGCCTAGTAGACAATGTAAAATTGTAATTTAAAGTTGCCTGATGGGCGTGTGACATTTCAGCATGCCCTAACCTGTGTCGTGTGTTTCTTGTCTTGCAGCAAGATGACGGGTCATTCATTTCACATGGCCTACAGCATGGCCATTCTCAATGGAGTCACCATGTTCCTGATGACTATATGGTGGCTTATTTAGGAGCTCGAGTCGACTCCCAATGCCTTGGCGCTTGATGCCCTGGGGAGTGAGCGCGAAATGTGTCGGTGTTTGTCTTCCTCTGTATCCCACTGCCGGGATTTATTACAGCTTTCGGAAAGTATATCCTTTTCGCTCTCTGGTGCGTTTTCGGGTTGTGATGTCTGACGCTTCGCTCCACTTATTTCAGGAACTGAACTCCCACCACATAGAGCGAAATGTTGAACGTTACACAGAACCACACGTGGATCAACACAAACAGCACATCGGAGAGCTGTACAGCATAACTGAGAAAACCCTACGCAGTGGACCTCTTTGCTGCACTTGTATGGGAATGCGTATTACCTTCAAAAGTCACGGCACAGCTAAAGTTAATTATATGGTGACATTAACGCATAAGGAGAATATGCATGAATGATTTAATGCCAGTAAGATCCCCGAAGCACAAATGCCATGGTTTCATTGGCTTCTACAGATTAACCATACTTTTTGCAGAGACTAAAATCCTCTAGTTTGTTTCAACATTTCTGTTAAATCAATTTGAGAATATTAAACATTTTAAAGGAATGCTATTATCTTATATTGTCTTGGTTGCAGTCCGGTGGTGAATAATAATTTCTCCAAAATTTTTGTATGAAACAGATCTTTACATCTCATCAGATTCCTCCAATATAAATACATATTCTGATTGAGTTTTTATGCATATTCCATGTTTGATGTTCAGTTATTGCATGCACTTTTTTAAACATTTTACATATGTGATTATCCAGAAGTGAGAAATGTGTGCTGTTTAAAAGCACATTCCATATGTGCACGCCACAGGAGTCATTTGTGCTGATGATTGACCCACATTAATTGTTTCAGTTTTTAGTTTCATTTATTCGGTATAGCCCTGTGAGCCATGCGGCTCTTGACTCGGGTGCAACCACAACAAACAAAAACATGAACAAGAAAACATCTTAAAGTGACTACACGCAACAGTAAAATCCAGGAAAAAACAGCAAAGTCTTCAGGAAAAAACACCATATTTCAATGCTGTGTGCAAAAATCCCAGTGGGATGCAAGTCAAATAACAACCATAAGACAATTTAGATTAAAGTTATCAGGCTAACTCTGTACTACAACAAACAAACATGGCTTAACCAAAACGTTTTCAAAATCCCCCAAATAAAGCTATAAAAACAATGTAACAGTGATCATAGGAACTGTGATTCAAATTTAACAATTAACGATATACACAACATGTACGACCAAAATTTGCAGCCATAGCTGGCAAATGGCCTCATTTTGTTATTTGTGAATACCCATGCAATCCCATAATTGTATTATGCTCATTACATTTTATTCTACGCTGTGATACTTTTATTTTTTTTATACAGTACAGTATTTTACATTTCAGGGTGTTGTGGCACGCTGTGTATTATTTGCATGTGGCCAGCGCTTTGTTTCTGTTCTCTTCTGGCAATGCAACTATAAATACATTTTGATTCACTGGTTAACTACCACTTCTAGATTATTCTGCTGCTTTTGACCCCACATATCACTCACACTTTCACTCTTACCTATCGAACCACTCTGTCTTGATTTCCTGACAATGGTTGTTTTTCATTTGCAAAACCTTTTCGTTGCCATTGATCCGAGCTCTCGTTTGCTTGTCACTGACATCAACTCTGCAGGTCGTCATACCTCCTCCACCTGCGCAATACCTCCAATTTACTCTAAACTCAGCCACTTGCCGAGACTTTCATTCATGCCTCTACGATTATTGCAATTCTCCTGGTCAGCCTCTTCAATCCACTCATCCAAAATTATATAGGTTTGTAAAATGAAACAAGGCTGGTTTTTAAAGTGTATGAAGCACAATGCAAGGTCAATTTGAAAAACAGCAATGTTATAACTCTGGAAATTTTTTATTTTATATGAACCCGTAATTCTTCTGTACTGGTGTACATACTGGTATAGTTTATCATGCATTCGGAAGAAATACTGCCTGTGTTCCTCTACTACTTTTTAAGATATATTTTTGTATGTTACCCAATTTTATATAAGGACTTTATGTAAATAAAATGTGTGGGTGAAACTAAATAAGTATTTTTCATTGTGTCCCATGTATTTTATATTCATACACAATACATGACATACACTTACTTTAGACAGTTGAAAGATGTTGAGGTTTTTCAAGACACATTTGAGCATCATTTTTCTCAGGTCTCCTTTGAGAAACTTGCTATAATGGTCAGTAATATAATGTACGTTGGAATTCCAAATCATTCTTACATTAACGTCAAATACAAGTTTTTAAAATACCGATGATACGCTCTGATTACTCTCTCGTTCGTGATATTTTATGACCACCGCTTCTTCCCGGAACACTCATGGTACATTGTTCCTAACTTAATGTCCACTTGGGGTGTCGCCATCGTATCTGGTCATAATTGTACATTTCTCCGACTGATCCAGTCTGCCACTTTGAGAGATTGGCTTAACATTGCCGCAATGGGAAATGATGGGAATTAAAACTGGATTCAAATTCTGCATTGGATTGTTTGACGTATATTTCATTGATTTTTATGCACAGGGAAATAGTGAAAATTATAGAAATAACAGTCATACATTAAGTATTTAATCACACTAAATATGTAAAACATGTTTAAATATTAACATCGTTAAATTGTAAATAATTAAAAAGGCTACATCAAATAGGAATAAACAGTCAAGATGGAATTGAAAACAGTGCTTTAGCTTGTACTGTCTTGCAGAATACCAACTCAAAATTTGTATACTTTAAATTGCAAATAAACATGTAAAGATACATTACATGATTACATGGTTTTAACTATTTTATATGTTAATTTATTAACATTTCTTGATGTGTGATTTGTTCTAAAACGATATAGGCTCAGCTGTGATCAGTTATTTTAGCCAGTCGTAACCCATACCATTGCGGTGCGTCATGGAGTACTATTTTCTTCCATAGTTGTGTAGTGCGTGTTTGCACACACCCACATGGGCTTGTGTGTCACGTTATGAATTTGACCTGTCCCTACTGGACATCTGTGAAAAAATAACTTCATAGCTCATCGGATTCCTCCGGCAATATAAATGAAGATTGTGATTCTGACATGAGTTCATTTTGGTAGGGTGTGGCGTAGCAGCATTTTTTCAAGATGCATTCTTGTGCAATACATTTTTGCTTGCGGCAAATGTCAACCCATGTATCCCTCTCTTATTTATTCGGGGATTTTTGTTTTGTTTTTCATGGCTTCTGTATTAAATGCATACATTTTGTTGCAACGGTTGATACTTTTTTTGTATTCTGTGTACGTTTTAATACCCCCTATGTTTTGGATCTTACCTTCGGTCCGAATCATACACGTCCGATGTCGCACGTGTATGATATTTCTCATACAGGCAAATGATGCATTCACTTTGTGTAATATATAACATTTCAATCTTGATCACCATGTTGTTGTGCACATTGTCGGTAGTTATCTTCCAAATATGCATGTAATGTTAATCCCGCGCATCCCTAATATGCAGAGTATAATGTTTCAGAGGTTTTTCTTTGAATATTAGTCATAATCAGCCATGATTTACCTGCTGCTGCATGAAGGCGTCACCACCATGCCCGTCAGTCCTGCGATGCCACAATCCATGTGCACATGAGCTGGCCATTGCCAACATCACAATGCGAGCAATATCTGAAGCAGTCCTGGAACACCCCTCACACCCTGGACTTTACCGACCTACAATGACCAGCGTGATGAAGTATGGTCGGACAATCCCCATGTGCAGCACGCATGGATCATCTATTTTTTACAGCAGTAAATTGACAGAGGGCTGAATATATATTTTTCTTTACAGCCTCACTTGATTTATTTTTACATTTTTTTTGCATTTTTCTGGTACGCTTGTGCATTTGCTGCATTAACCCTGTCATGCATCACATCTGCTGTGTTGGACTGCTGCAATATACACGGCATTGAGACAACTCTTATAAAATTGTATTCAAAAATTTCAACACATTTTGTGGGTTCTTTTGAGTTCAAAATTACATTACATTAAAGCGTGCCCAGTTTATTACGATATTGTCACAAACTGTCACAATCTTGGCCACTGACTTGTCCATTCAGGATTTGAGCCAATTTTAAGCAAGCAACCCTGTGGTATCAGGCTGCGCTTTTAATTCACGAAAAGAAAAGGTCACGAGTAATCAGTCACCACTGTCCGATAATAAATATCTGTGAACCATTTTCCAGACACTCTTTGTCCTCGAGCAATACTTCGCTTTTAATAGAAAATGAAATTGCAAATATGGAATTGTTTTTTTCCATCAAATATTGTTAAAACGTTACGAGGGCCACAGTGGCGAGATGTTAACGACCTCGTCCGGTATACAGAAGGTCGTGGGTTCGGTCCCGACCCTGACGCCTGTTGTATTTTTTGAGTTTGCATGTTCTCCTTGTGGTCGCGTGGATTTTTCTCCAGGTTCTCCGTTTTTTTTTCCACATCACAGCCAATTTGTTGAGCTATCATTTGTGGCCAGGTCGCTTCTGAAAAATAGGTATGTAGCTGAGTTGGCCCGTCCTAGTAAAATTTTAAAAATATATATTTCATTCTTTCCATTTTGGTTGTTCTCTGCTGTGCTCAAAACATGTCCAGACCTTAGGGTAATAGTTGTATAATTATTTAAATAGTTTTCCCTATCAAATATGCCATGACAGGTAACATTGGTTTGTTGATCTTCAATTCCAAGTTAAGTGTTTCAAAAGCACTCCAAAATTGCTCTTGCTCACCATATTTCACCACATTTTGATCCAAGTTCACCCTCAGTAATTTCCATGAGCTTACATATTCTGATGTTCTTTCCCTCCAGCAAATATCTTCCTTTGGCGGTTTTCGATATTACTTTTGTTTTGCATATATTCATGTCAAGCCCAACTATGCAACCGTATTTATTGTTTAATCATCTGTCATTCAGTTGTAGTGGTTGTTATGATGTCATAGGAAAAACTAGAATTGTTTCTATTTTTACATTTATTTTTATAACCTATGGATCAAACATGGACAATAACAAAGAATACAAAACATGTTGCAAACGGTGTGCAAACGAGCATGGAGAGGCGAATGCCTGGAATTACACCGAGAGACAAAGAGGAACTCATGGATGACCGCGCTTGTAAATTAGAGAAAAGCAAGTTAGCTTTGGCAGGAAATATTGTAATAAGGGATGATAGTCAATGACCGAGACTAACGAGAGAATATCTGGAGATAACAACTTCCCCATGGAGATGCCAGGATGAGATTGGCTCGCGTGCAGAAGCTTAATGGATCGTGGCATCGTGAGGCCATGAGGGACTGCGACGGCTTGCGGAGGATTTTTTTTCCAGCAGTTGATAGATCAGGGCTGATGATAAAATACAAAATGTATTCCTGGCAGGATTATTTTTTTCCAGTTTTATTCCATTAGTAGTGGGTTTAACTGAGTCGCACACTTATACTTGGAGGCAGCGCATTTATTTCCAACACACGGGGTAAACTTTCCCCTTAACACGATAACAGCGTCGGGTGGTGACCACCCGGCTAACTACACTAGTTACCACGTGACTGGTGTAGTTAGCCGGGTGGTGACCACCCGGCTAACTACACTAGTTACCACGTGACTGGTGTAGTTAGCCGGGTGGTGACCACCCGGCTAACTACACTAGTTACCACGTGACTGGTGTAGTTAGCCGGGTGGTGACCACCCGGCTAACTACACTAGTTACCACGTAACTGGTGTAGTTAGCCGGGTGGTGACCACCTGGCTAACTACACTAGTTACCACGTGACTGGTGTAGTTAGCCGGGTGGTGACCACCCGGCTAACTACACTAATTACACGTAGGCTTTCGCGACCAATATTATTCATAATAAAGGTTTTTGGGTTAGATCGCGTTTATTTATAAATGTGTCGCAACCCTCCACCACCCGACACGGCCAATCAGCAAAAAAAGTGTCACGTTGACAAAAAGATATTCCGAAACTTGCTGGCCATTGTTTAAATAACACTTACTTCTTATGGAGAGGGGATTTCTTTAAACAAAAGGAAGGAGCAGCAATGGGTTCTCCTTTATCCCCTGCTATAGCAAATTTGTTCATGGAAAACTTTGAAATAAGAGC